AGCACGGGTGTGCTGAACAGCAGTCCCCTCACAGCAGGCCCCTCTCACCAGCACGGGTGTACTGAACAGCAGGCCTCTCTCACCAGCACGGGTGTGCTGAACAGCAGTCCCCTCACAGCAGGCCCCTCTCACCAGCACGGGTGTGCTGAACAGCAGGCCCCTCTCACCAGCACGGGTGTGCTGAACACCAGGCCTCCCTCACCAGCACGGGTGTGCTGAACACCAGGCCTCTCTCACCAGCACGGGTGTGCTGAACAGCAGGCCCCTCTCACCAGCACGGGTGCGCTGAACAGCAGGCCTCTCTCACCAGCACGGGTGCGCTAAACAGCAGGCCTCTCTCACCAGCACAGGTGATCAAGCAAAACAAGACAAAACTGGACAAAACAGGGCGCACCAACCCGGCCGAGGCTGCCATCATCGGCGCCATCTTATTTACATTAACACCAACACAACAATGTAACCTACACTCAGGTGTTGAACGCCCATCTACCAAGCTACGGCAGAACTAGACACGGTCCCGCTATCCCGGTCTGGACCACAAGCTGGGTCCCGGACCGCATGGCTAGAGGCTTCTTCAACCCGACATGAATCTTCTCTCACCAACAGACAAGAATCCCGGGCCCCTCATGGGGCCCCCGTTATATCGGCCTGGGCTGGGGCTGGCTCTGCCTCTCGCTCCGCCCACCTTTTCGATCTCTCGAGCTCTTTTATCAAGGCTCCCGAGAGCTCTTTTATACCACATGACCGCCCAGCGGCCCCCGTCCACCCGTGGCCCTCCTCCAATATCATCCGGTCACGTGTCGGCAGGTCAACCAGCGTATCATGCCCCAACGTAACCCTGCTGGCTGACACTCTCTTTCGCTCCCTCACCGGGAGTCCGCACTGCACACTGTGCATGGTGTCCCCGCGCTAACCAGCGCTCACCCAAGCACCGCTAGGGCTGGTACTACGCCCAGTAACCGAGCTACACATAATGACAACATAACATCCGCCGTGGCCTCACAGGCCCGGCACCACACAGTGACATTCCCAGTCACTACATATTTATGATTCTATGTTTCTCCATGAGTATATCTGTATCTCCATTAGTCTTTATATAACTTTATCTATCTCTATGAGTCTCTATGTGAGTTTATTTTATTAAGTTGTTGGGTCACCTGACTAGGATTGGCAAAACTTAGCCCACGTTTTACCCAGGAAACTGAACAATAGCACAGACGAATTCTGTGTGACTAACCTAACATTAAAACCAAAAATAAATTCAAAAATCACAATTAAGAGAAACACAATATTTACTATTAAAATTATTAAAATAACAAAAATGAAACTTAAAATTTGGATTAAATAACATTTTATGTTTAAACAGGGGAAAGAGTTAATTTTCCTTCAATCTGCTAAGGAGATTTCATTTGGTGTGCTCATTAACCCTTTCCCATTCCGATGATGTACGTCCCCGCGTACATACGTCATCGAAAAGAAATTGGAAGAATCACGAAAATGAAATAACTTTATCGATACCAAGGCTCCCACAGGGTCATGTGGAAGGGCGTGTGGTACCATTTGGTGTCAGCTATCATAGAGTGCGGTCGTGTCGGTACAGTTTTTGCGGTGTTTTAAAAAAAAAATGGCGCTATGCCTCTCTAAATAAAATTAACGCTGAACAGATTGCATGTTCCAATATTCAGCGGTGAATGGAACCCACCCTGCAACTTAGACGTCTGTGAATGGGAAAGGGTTAAGGTGCTTCGTGGAGATTGGACAGGTAGAGTTCATGATTGCTGTACTGCATTCTCCCTTCCAGACAGGATATAGAACCTCGAATTAAAATGAGAATCTTTATTTAGACTGCAGGAGGAATCTAATAAACTATGGAGCTCTTTCGATTTAAAGCTTTCGTGACTGCAAGGATTCATCTTCTTGGTTAAAGTCACGTAGAATGAGAATCAAACAATAAAACAAAATAAGACAATAAAAATTCTCACGACGTTTTGGCCACAACACAAGTAGCCTTATTCAGGTGAAGAGACAGGTCTGGACGGAAGACAGAGCTCGAATGGACGCCATCATGTATGGACCGCGTTTATTAAGCTGTGTGGGCGGAGTAAAAACATGAGTCTTTACGTCCCCAGCATCACCTCCGGAGCGGGGCTGGGAACACAGGCAGAGAGGAATGCAAAGAACGCGCCTATCAAACTGTGTGGGCGGAGGCAGAGCCCGAATGTCATCAGCATCAAATGCAACTACACCGAAGAGGGGGGGGGGGGGACATAGGCAGAAAGGAATAAAGAAAAGTGAGCAGAGGTCCAGTAGGGGTAAATCAATAAGTTACAATAACATAATACAAAAAACGATAGGAGTGCAAAATAGAGTAAAGGCCAGCAAGTCACGATAAAAAAATATATTAAGTTCAAATTATATAAGCACATCAATTCCTGGTGATTTTTAATTGATAAATGCATGCTGGGCATGGATTAGGGAAAAAAAACAGCCCCAGACCACACCAAGACAACTCACAGTCCCTCAACACATGTAGTGACATCGCTGGATGTCATCATGCTGTAGATTCAGTACTGTTCCTAGAAGGGCACGGTGTGTATGTAGTGACATCGCTGGATGTCACCATGCTGTAAGTGCAGTACCGGCCCTGGAGGGCACGGTGTGTGTCGACCTGAAGGGAATGTTAGGTAAGGCCATGACAGCCTAGTTGACCCGGGAGGACACGTGACCGGTTAGAATGACAGAGGGGCCCCCGAGGGGGGGCTGTGAGGGTCACGTGATGGAACCGAGGTTCTTCGTAAAAGTTCTGGAAAAGGTGCGTGGCCAGGGACGGAGTCATTCACGCCGGAGAAAAATATAAGCTGAGTCCCGAGAGGGAGCTGGGGTGTCCGTCCCAGGGAAAAAAAACCCTTCGTATACAATCTCCAATCTCGAAGTCCTCCAGCACGTGGACCCGGGAAGTATGCTGTTGGTCCTGGCCAGAAGTTTATAGTTACCTTGTAACCTGTGTAGTTAGCCAGGGTGGTCACCACCCTAGGTTGTTGTCGTGTAAAGGGGGAAAGTTACCCCGTTGTGTTGAAGTAATAAATGCGCTTTCTCCGAGTCTAAGTGTGCGACTCAGTTAAACCCACTACAAATACACAGGTTAAGATCAAAGCTAGAAATACATTGGCCAATGTGGTTGTATCCAGCACTAATATTCTCATCATCATGAAGATCCATGGGCAGATAGTCCATAGGTTTATAGTTTTGGGTGGAAGATATTATTTGAAGGAAGATGCAAGGGGATGGAGTTTGAAATCATTTGCATGATCTCCCAATCTTTGACTCCATTGGGCTGGTTGACAGACATGCGCCACCACTGCCTAGATTCTAAGTTGATGTGACCATCAGGAAGTGTAATTTAAGAAGACTTTCAGGACCTCATAGGCCCCTTCACATAAGAAGATACACGAATATAATGGACAGGCTGCCTGGTCACGGACGAAGGTCGGAGACTTCCAAGACCGTTGATGGTGTCTTCATCCTGAAGTTGAACCGCCCCGCTCTCTGTTCACGCCCCGCTTATAACCGCCCCCCTTCTCGATCCTTCAGGAAGGTCTGGTCCCCTAACCACGTGACCACCGAGCTCCCCGCTGGGGCCCATAGCCCCCCTTTATCTGGGCACGTGTCCTGTTGGGTTCACGCAGAGTGTCACGGCCTGATATGACCCCCGTGACACCCGCCTACAGCCCCCATACCGAGCCAACACGGTAGTGACGTCATATGTCCCTACGCTCATACAGTCCCGACACAGTAGTGACGTTGTATGTCACTACATATGTAATACACCTTATCCATATGTAGTAACATCGCGGAAGTCAGTGTGGGGCCGGCTCCAGAGAGGCACGGCATGTAATGCACTTACATAACGGATATCACGTATGTAGTGACATCGTGGATGTCACTGGGTAATGCCGGCTCCAGCGAGGCAAGGCGGACACCTCGTATATGTGGGTGTAATACCAGCCCGAGACGGGGCTCGGTGAGCGCTGGGTCATAGTGCTCAGTAGCACCACACGTGGCGTGCAGTGCTGATTCCTACAGGATGGTGTGTGAGTGTGTCAGCCATGAAATGAGGTTATTCTAGAATTGAAGTTTTCGTGACTGCAAGGATCCATACTCTTTGGTTCTTTCGGTAAAGTCACGTAGGTGGAAAAAATAATAATACATTTATTTCGATTTAAAGCTTTCGTGACTGCAGGGATTCATCTTCTTGGTTCTTTCGGTGAAGTCACGTAGAAGGGAAATAAAATAATAAAAATAAAACAATAAAATAAAAATAAAATACTTTATTATTTTATGATTTCCCTTCTACGTGACTTTACTGAAAGAACCAAAGAGTATGAAATGAGGTTACCCCAGGCCATGCCACTCTGGTTGACTCTGGAAGGCGTGTGACGGGTAAGATCTACACAGGAGCCCCAAGTGGGGGCTGGGGTGGTCAGGTGCCGCTTCGAGATCCTGCTAGAGGGTTCGAGAAGGTGGTCGTGGCCAAGGGCAGAACCAGCCACGGCCAGCAAGCATTTAAACCAGATCCCCGAGAGGGACCGGCGTTCTGCGTTGCTGTTTTCATCTAAAGATCTACGTTCTACGTCCAAGAAGAAGTCATCAACACGTGGACCTGGACTCAAGCTGGGGTTCAATCCGTTGTAGCTACTCCCAGTGAAACTAGTGTAGTTAGCCTGGTGGTCCACCACCACAGGGTTGTTATCTGGTAAAGGGGCAGTTACCCCTTTGTGTTAAGTGTGTTGGTATTAATAAATGTGTTGCCTCCAAAGAGTATTCTGCGACTCAGTTGAATCCACTACACATATTTAGAATCACATTAATTTACCGATGTAATTATAATAATGTTATATTGATATGGTTAGGTATTAATGTGTTTACAATTTTTCCATGTGTTTTAACTGCCTTTTGTAATAAGTAAGTAAATCGATGTACATGTATTTTTGCTTCCTCAGCATCTACTGTTTACCCATGGAAAATAACCAACTCATCAAGTAAGTGTTCTGCACTAACATTACATTCATGATATCATGTTTACCATCAGTATTATTAGTTGCATGATTACCGATACCCCAATGAAGCCCTTATATATATATTTTTTATCATATATAAGTAAGAAAGAAGGCATCTTTGTTTTTTTCGGTAAAGTCACGTAGAAATAAGAAAAAATAAAATTACATAATATACGACGTTTCGATTGCAACACAAGCAATCATCATCAGGTAGAGGAAACACATAACCGCAGATATATACAGACTTTAAGTAGAGGGAATTGCACAGATATACCAGGGGATACAGAGAGACAGAGCATCACACTAAATCAAACAGGGTTTAGCAAAATTTGGAAACTATGTAAAGCAACACAGACGGTCGGTTAAAACACAATTAACGCATGGTCTGGTTGAATACACTATTTCAAAGATTGTATATATATCTTCGGTTATGTGTTTCCTCTACCTGATGATGATTTCTTGTGTTGCAATCGAAACGTCGTATATTATGTAATTTTTGTTCTTATTTCTACGTGACTTTACCGAAAAAAACAAAGCTTAATTCCTGCAGTCACGAAAGCACCAAATCGAGTAAGAAAGAAGGCAGTTGGGAATACATCCTCATATACACAATGGTATGATGACCCCTTATAACGCCGATTCCATTAGTGCTCAATTCTCTAGGAAAGCATTTTGAGTACTAAACGAGGTCTGACTGTTTAGCAACGTAAAAGTGCTTCAGCAGTACGCATAAAGGCCAGATGAGTTGATGGCCATGGGGCAAGTCTGTTGAACGAAAACACACTTTTTTTACCAGATAAAGCCAACTGAGCTGTAGTTATTTTTCAGAAGCGACCTGGCCACAAATTATAACTCGGCAAAGTGGCTTATCTTGTGGAAATGTATAGCAGCCAAATACTCGAAATAAATGTGTAAATATGGAGGACATGGAGAAAGATCCACACAACCACCGGGAAAGAGAGAACATGCAGACTCCAAATATACAGGCATCAAAGTCGGGATTGAACTCACATGCCAGGCAAGGGAGATAACATCTCGCCACAGTGGCACCCAGAACGTCAGCTCCAGGAATACTTCCTAGACGATGATCACTGCAAAGATGGCAGCGATGAGATCAACTGATGAGTGGGTGTAATGGATTGTGGCGTCATGGGACCATCTCGGGTAGCAATCAATAATATTCACCCAACAGTCAGTTGATCTTGCCTGATAATGACACCATTAGGTTATTATAACCTATTTAGTGTCATGTATTGTTTCCCAAACTCTTTAACAACTGTTCAGTTATACGTGCATGCAATTTCCATTGTGAGATTTAAAAATTTGACTTAAAACTTTCGTGACTACAAGAATTCATATTCTATGGTTCTTTCGGTAAAGTCACGTAGATAGAAACATAATAACAATAAAATAATAAAAATGAAAATAAAGTGAATACAATTTTTATAAAATATCACGACGTTTCGATCGCAACACAAGTGGTCGTCATCAACACAAGATCCAGGTCCGATTTAACACAGTGCATGAAATTCGTGAACTGATCCCATCCTTGAAGGACAAGATTCCTGACATGCAATATCCCGGCATCTACTAAGCTGTATCTGCAGCAGTTACATTGGGGAAGCCAAACTACATGTCTCAGACCGTGTTCGTGAACATAAGGCAGATCTGAAACACGGCAGGACTAATATTTTTGCCATGGCTGATCATTACTTTAATGCGGCTATCTCACATTAAATTGATTTCTATAAGACGATGGTACTTTGAAAGCCGACTGGCTATCAACAGATTTGTTCGTGAAGCCATCCATATATACAGACACAATTTCAACCGAGACGACGGTTTTAAACTCAGCAATCATTGGAAAGATGTCATCAACCACTTTGGGTCATGACTTGATTTGTGTTTTCTTGTTCACCTCCACCGTCAGTAGTGTGGGTGTGTGGAGCGAGGTGCAATGCTTTGATTGGTGTAGACCTACTGGCTGTGTTGGAGACCTCTCCTACATTAACATTAGCTGCCCCGACCAATCTCTAAACCTTTATAAACAGCTTGCCCTCAGAGGCTTACCTCCCTGTTCCTGATGACGACCGCTTGTGTTGTGATCGAAACGTCGTGATATTTTATTATTTTGTATTCACTTTATTTTTTCATTTTATTGCTATTATTTTTCTATCTACGTGACTTTACCGAAAGAGCCATAGAATATGTATTTCAATTGTGAGGTTTCATTATTACGCATATCCGAATTGTTAACGAGGAAATAATAACGCGTGAATTGTTTTTCTTTCTCACAGATGCGACCCTGCGTCTGGTCGATGGGCTGTACAACTGCCAGGGCCGAGTGGAGATACTTCAGAATGGCACATGGGAGAGTGTATGCTTCTATTACCCATACATTAGCTATGCTTTGTGCCAGGAGTTGGGCTGTGGCCAATCATACCCCTACAATTATGCCAACGTGGAAGGATATAACACTGCATTGGTCGCTTCATGCACGGGATTAGAGAATTCCCTGTCACAGTGTACACTATCGCAGGAAAACCGATACTGCAGTGGTTACAATGGAGATCCAATGAAGAGCTATGTTTCATGCTCAGGTATGCCTTTAAACATATATTCTAACTGAATGAAACCCAGGGTGACACACACACACGATTCTATCGTTTGCAGTGGTGGCTTATGGTTCCGGTTAGAGCCATAGAAAGTGGCAAACCCTGTTCTGCACTGCTCATAGTCTGTACAGCTTCCACAAGAGCCCAGTGGTGACAGCTCAACACCACTGCACTTAATGTACACCGGTGTTGAGCAACACCTGAGGTGTTTTAAAAACCTGGAGCCCATCACTCGGGATGCCAGGTTTTAATTCACGAAATATGCAACAATATCTGCCTAAAAGTTAGAATAAGCCCCGTTAAAGTGGACAACAAAGTGGAGCAATATATAGTAACGTGTCTTAGATTGATTTGCAGAAGCCTCAAAATCATATATTCTCAATTTGCACTCAGTTTTTAGTATTTTTTCCCGAATATGTTATGGCAGTTTTTTAGACGTGAAGTTAAGAATGTGCTTTATTCTTTCCGGCAATAATACAGGAGATGTAAAAATGTGAAAACACCAAACATACACCTATTCCAAGGCAAAAAGGTCCCGTAGATATGTATTTCTTTAATTGTGTTAAATCTAAAATAAATTTTTTATTGGGTCTTCCATTTTATATATTCATGTTATAGTTTATACTTTTTATTGCGATTTATTTTACAGTCTTGACATTCAGTGGCTTTATATTCAACAGCTTACTGTTTTAAATTGAATCACTGGTTTAAAAAAATATAATCACAACTACAATTGTGTTTCTAGAGTTTGCATTTTAATACCTGTGTCATGATTTGCTCATTATGGATTATGATAAAATAAGATAAGAAAGGTAAATAGTCAAACTAAATTGACACAGGAAGTGACTACTGGCTGTAAATATATTCCTGAGATAATTCATTACGCTTTGTATTATGTACTCATGCGTCATGTTTCGCAATGGCTTTTATTTTGACCTGCAGCTGCAGGGCTTCGTCTGGTTGGGGGAAACAACCGCTGTGAGGGCCGGATGGAAGTCCAAAAGAATGGAATGTGGGGCGAGCTATGCAGCTCCACTTTGAACAGGGCCATCGGAGACAGCATTTGCCATCTCCTTGGCTGTGGCTGGAGTCTTGCCTATGGAAACCTGTCGGCATTTGGACAAGGAAATGGAACCATTTTCCCTGATACCTTAAACATAGCTGGCAACAGGATATACGAGAACCTTTTACATGGAACCAATGATTGTAACCATTTCCAGACAGCTGCCATCATTTGTGAAGGTGAGCAATGAGTTGTTTTGGGTTTTGATAATTGAAAGTAACGTATTTTCACCCATATAACCCGTGGGGTATACCACTTTTTACAAACAAAACAAGACCCTGCGGGGTATACGGAGGTGCGGGCTATCCCAAAATGTTTAATACGTGTGACATGTCATAACTCGTTGATTTTTTTAATGGTAGGACTATCCACTATGCAATACTTACCTTTGACTAAAGTACTGGTGAATAAACCACTCACACTAAAATTGCACATGTTATCACGTTTTAAATTATTCGAATTGTTCGTACAATTAAACGACAATGTTTGAAGTGGGCGCACTTTGGTTTACCGGCGACGGGAGAGCTGGGAGGAGGGAGAGGTGGGGGGTTGGGGGGTGGGGCAGAGCAAGGTCTGTGGAGTGACGGATGAGCTGGGGGGGGAGAGAGAGCTGGGGGGTTGGGGGCGAAGCAACGGCGTTACCGTAGTGCTGCTATTGTCTGCGCAGTGCATCAATCTACCAGTGCTAACACTGTACTTACTTATCTACCAGTTATGTGTTACTTATTTATTGTATTTTTACTTTTGTTACTTATTTACTGTTTTAAGTTCACTCGTTTCCGGTTAGTTTGTTTTCTTTGTGCACGTTATGATTTTAATGTTAACAATTGATAGTGGAATGTATTACAAATGTAAGCTTCGTATTTATATGATGGAATTAAGCTGCGATAACGACGTTAAAGATATTAATGCATGCGGGGTATATGGAGGTGCGGGCTATCTGAAATTTGTTTTACACAAAACTGCTATTTTTGCGGGGTATATGCGTCTGCGGGTTATATGCATATGCGGACTATATGCGGGAAAATACGGTACTTGTAAATGTCATTGTCCTGTTGTATACATTTTCTTACAGAGTTCTATTAAATATTTACAAGTATTTTTTCTAAATTTCTCAAAAGGAGGTTTTGTTCCTGGTTACAACTCGGTTTTAGTAGGCATTGCGAGTGTTCACAATATGGAGATATTAGGTATATTTTTCATTATCCCACAGGATCATGAACGTGATACAGAGAAGTATTTTTTGGGGTTACTGTCCCCACCCACTACCCATCATCCCTCGCTACTTTATAGCAAGCCAGATTTCATGGTAGTGGGAGTTAAAAACAGAATTAGACCACTTTTTCCCAAAAACAAAGGGACAGAATGGAGAGGGGCTAACAGAAGAGGGCAGACATCTAGCAACGGCCTGGTGCAGGTCTCTATAATGAATAGCTCAACCCAGCCATCCAACTGGTTAAATCGAGATTGCAACTCTGATATGTGCAACAGGCACTGTGGAGTAATAGAACGCGTAAAGATAATGGACACATGGAGAGTACTTTGGCCCACTCTCCTAATGTTCAGGAGAGGCTCTCCACACAAAAGTCAAACCTCTTCTTTCGCATATTTTTCTTTTGCGAAATTCTGATTCACGATATATTATTTGTATACCAATTCAACTTTCGTGCCTTTTTAATTCAACTATTCGCGATTTGGCAACATCCACAGGCTGCGTTTGGCTGTGTCAGGTGCTGCACGATCTTAACTACGCAGATTTGGTCAGATCAATGTGGCCCAACATAAAATAAATTTTTAATCCTAATATTGTCTGTGAAATCAACTATGTTAATTTATGTTGCGATTTGCCTGTTCGAAAATACAAACTTTGTTATCCCCCCCCCCACCCCATCAGCTGCAGGGAATCAAAACTATCCAATGATCACAACTACCTCGACAAGTAAGTACATGGGGGAGGGGGTGACCATGCTGGGTTGAAGGGTGCACATTTTGTCTCACCGAGTACCAGCCTGGTATGGGAACCCTCATCTAGCAGCTTGTCACACCTACAAGACTCTCAAGCATCTTTGCTTGAAAAGAAAATATTATTGTCAGAACTCAAACAATGCTAGACACGTTTTACACGCATAGCTGCAAATACAGTAATTCTGAAAACGACTCCATCTTTCAGGTAACACATGTTTATGTTATTTTACATTGTGGATTGTCAATTTGAGCCTGAGCCACATATTTCAGTTTCATTTATTTGGTATAGCCCTGTGACCCATTCAGCTCTTGAATCGGGTGCAACCGCAACAAACAAAACATGAACAAGAAAACATCTTAAAGTGACTATGTGCAAACAGAAAATTCCAGGAAAGAACAGCAAAAATTTTCCAGAAAAAGCACCGTACACCAACGCTGTGTGCAAAAATCCCAGTGGGTTGCAAGTCAAACAACAACAACAGCCATAAGACAATTTTGATTAAAGCTATCATTCTTACTCCGTACTACAACAAACATGGCCAACCCAAAAAACTTTTAGAAATTACCAAAATAAACCCATAAAAGCAATGCAACAGTGATCATAGGAACTGACCAAAATTTCACAATAAACTACATAAACAAAACGTACCATCAAAATCTGTAGCCATAGCTGGCTGCAAGAGTCATTCTGCAACAGCAGGAGCATCAGAAGGAGTATCAAACTTTTTCAGTGCACCTTTAAGATCAGCACACTAAATCAAAACACAGATCATACTTTGCATCGGTCATCTGGAGCGAAACATTTTTATTTATTTTAGGCCACTGAATAGCAGTGGCAGCTAGGGGTGTACAACTCCTCTAGAGCAGTTTTGAGTGAAGATCTCATAGGTCTGCTACTAGGACAGTCAGTCTTGTTGGGGGATGAAGGTGGTCAGGTAATGGTGGCAATCCGTGTTTTGGGGACTAATGGTATAATCTTCATTATATCAAACGCATTGTATGGACAGATATAATAACATCCTTATAAACTATTGTATGTTTCATACGTAATTGTTTATGTGATGACAAATTTACACCTGTTTATTTAGGTGATATAATCCGTCTGGCTGACCGTGAAATGGAATGTCAAGGCCGTGTGGAGATATTTACCAATGGCCAATGGGGGACTCCATGCGGGGTCAGGGATTACTTGGGAAACATTGCCTGCCGTGAATTGGGATGTGGATATCAAATCTGGTCCACATCTCAAAACACTCCGCTACCGACGCCCATCTTGAGTGTTCAGTGCGATGTTGCTGCAGAGAATGCTTCAGAATGCACTGTGGCACCAATAAATAAGTATGACTGCATACAGCAAGGATTTCAATACACTATTTGCACAGGTATGTATTTTCCAGACCACCAAATCACACGTGAAGTATACTTTTGCACAATTATGAAAATGATGCACGTGTTGGGCTGCTACTACGAAGAAAATTAAATACATGCATGTCTTGCTTAACGAGCGAGATACGTTCCGAGAAAATGTCTTGGTAAGCAAAAATAGATTAACGATCATTGTTTTCCCATTGACTCTTATGTTCAAAGCTGAAATAAGTTTGACCCCCAAAATGTTAAAATCTTGAACTACCTTTTTAACGTGAGAAATATAAATTACTGTATGTTTAAATAAAGTAATAAAACATCACCTTTAACACTTACCATGCATGATGGACCAGAGTGCAAGATCCCCCTTCACAGATTGCTGGGGCAAGTGCTATTAGGGAGCGTCTCTGAAGGCCGGTATGGTACACGTGGGGGTGGTTGGCCATCACTATGCCCGGCCGCATTTGTCTCCCTAGTGCCAATGTTTACACACCGCATCAGGTACTCATTTGAGTCTGAGTCCTAGGGGAGGTCCAGGACCGATTCAAATGCTCAACACCGGTTTTGGCTGTGAGCGGGAATCGAACTCGGGTCGCCGGGTTCGTAGCGCCGCACGCGAGCCGTTGCTCCGCTGCTCTACCACCCACCCATTAGAGTGCCACCACAAGGCCCCCTTCCCGACACAGTGAATCACGCTCTGAGGCAGCATACCACAGGAGACTGGTAAACAAACAACTGCAGGCCGTGTTTCGCCCCCTGCCGCCATGGGATGCATTTGATCGATCGGTCTCCAGAATCAGAATCTCCGCTCGTTACGTTAAAACGTGCTCGTTTTGCGAATATGGGCTAAATTAAAATTGTTCGTTAAGCACGACACACCTGTAACATACATAAGCATTTTATTACTTTGAGAACCAATATTACAACTGATTTAACTAATTAAAAATGGAGATGCTTTAAAAATTCACAAACTATCATTTGTCACTAAAATATAAAACTGAATTGTCTTATCTAAAAAATAAATCTTCATTTAAAACTTTCGTGACTGCAGGAATCCATGCTCTGGGTATTTTGGTAAAGTCACGTAGGTAGAAAAATAAAATAAATAATATATCACGACGTTTCGATCGCAACACAAGCGGTCGTCCGGAAAAAAATAATCCAGCAGTGTAACTGCTGAACCAGCGAGAGAGCTGTTACAACAAGAGGTTAAATACGTGGCGAAGGGCAAGCAGGCGGGGTCAGAGCTGCAAAGGAATTCCATTCCCGGACGCAAGCACGTCAGTTGTGTTAATGGGGGAGATTAGGGAGAGAGATTAGGGGGATTAGCAAGTTAATGTCATGTCTATGTGTAACACAAGCTGCGGCGCTGCCAACTGCGCTGTGAGAGGCAAGCACGTCCACGCAAGAGAACCACCGCAACGGTGGTCGCGCCAGTGAGACACACAGCCCATCACACAGCCAGAACCATCGATACATCGAGGCTAAGGGAGCAGAGGTGGCCATGTTAGTGAGACCCCAGCCCGTTAATGCAGAGGCACCTAATAGGGCAATGCAACTCAGAGAGTCGGAGATAACAACCAAACGGCAGGGAAGAATGGACGCACCACAGCAAGTTACGACTTTGCTTGGTTAATAACTTGAAAAGTATTTAACCCAATCCTGTGAGTAGTGACCAGTGATTCACCTGAACTGCGCCAGTGCAGAAGATCGTGGAGGTTGTGGAGGGTTCGATAAGAAGAACAGAGCTAGGAGAGTGGTGGGAGTTGTCATGGGGCAGGGTATGAGAGTGGGGGGTGAGCAGGGAAGGTTCTGGAAGAAAGGCGGGGTTCAGGAAACGTTATTGAAGAACGGGCAGAAAGGGGCCATCCATTTAGTACGTACACATTGAGGGGGGAGGGTGTAAACCCAAATACGTACGCTTGCCTATGGGGGGTCTACTGACAATGTGTGTACACATACGAAACGGGGGGGAGGGTAAAGCCTCGATAATAATGCAAGCAGCGGTGGACTATCTGTTTTCTTAAACATGTTCATATTATTAATCATTGATCGTTTCTGCGTGGATTAAATATCGGCCGTTCTGTAGGATTCGTACAGGGAGGGGGGTAGGGGTCAAGGTTTGACAGATTTTTGCATACATACGGATGGCCCCAAAAGGGGTTTGGGGCACTGGGAGCCGGGTTTGCCGAGTGGAGGAAGATGACAAGGCTCCCGAGCAATGGCTGGGGTAGCAGGTCTACTCATTTCAGGCATCAGTCCTGTTCCATTGTATGAGCCCTTAGAGAATGTGTGCCCTATAGCCTTTTTTAAGAGACTGTGTGCCCTATAGCCTTTTTTTAAGAGACTGTGTGGGGGGTGATTCCACGTCGGCTTGTGAGTCCACACAAAGTGGTCAGGAGGAACACTTGAACTGAAGTGTTGAATTACGTAACATTTCATGTCTATTTCAGCTAAAGGACTCCGTCTGGTGGGTGGAACAAATCGCTGCGAGGGCAGGGTGGCAATTTCGAGAAATGGTGTTTGGAATGAAATCTGTAATTCAACTGTCAACACTCAAGATGCAGACGTGATTTGTCGTCTGCTCGGCTGTGGTTGGAGTGTAGCCCATGGAGTCATGTCACAGTTTGGCGTTGGAGCTGGAACAGTGTTGTCTGATAATTTAGATTGTTCGTCAACTACGAATGAAATATTTAGCTGCTTGCAGTCTGGGACAAATAATTGCAACCAACTTCAAACCGCCGCAGTAATATGCCAGGGTATGTTATCCTTGAATTTACATGACTATTGTATCGGAAACAACTGGTAAACTTGATTTGAACTTGGTAAACTTGGTAAACATACATTTTTCGATTTGGTTTCTTCTACAGGTAGATATTGATTTTAGTAATTTACATATTGTGATGAATGATTCAAGCAGTGCCATGATGTCACAATTCACGGTTCGTGATTAATTTCAAGAAGTCATTGTTTGGTCTCAATGTCATGGCCACTCTTGTACTTTTTCTCGTTATCTCTCATTTTTTTTCAGCACCATTAACGTTATATAACACTTGTTTAGAGCATTTAAATACACAACTTATTACATTTTTCTCGTACAATATTGAATATATAACCTTCATAATTAAAAATACATGCATTACATAGCACTATTTTACAGCAATTACAATGCAGGTTTCTCTCACTTTATGCGGTAGACGCATTCCAAAAAAGTGTACCTAAAGCAAAATTGCATAGCATAGACTGCACAGTTGCCCAACCCAAAATACACTGCACGAGACAGCAGCCTGCCAAGTAGCGCATACAGTACATACACAATGTTGTCTCACTTACGACCGCGTAGCGACATATGAGTGAATTCAAACTGCATAAGAGCTAATTTTGGGTCAAAATAGATTAGCCGCATATACGCGACATCGCTCAAACCAAATCCGCATAGAACGAGGGAAACGTGTACATTATAAAGTCATAATGGTCACCATAATGCTAATTACTATCTTCATCAGCATTATAATTTTCATCACAATTGCTTAACATGTAGTGCCAAGCTGCCTTTGGCTGAGTTGCGGAGCAACTCCTCCACCCGTTAGCATGTTGTGTGTGTATGTGTGCGATAGAGGAAACTTGATTTGTCAGTTCTGTCACTGGGTAGGCCGAACGTACCAACATCAGCAGTGCCCCCCCTACTTACACGAGATCAAAATGTCACCATGGCCAAAGCTGTGGATGCCACCAAATCTCGTCTATGCGTTCTTCCCTACGCCAGATTCTGCAGCTGTCCTACAGTAGACACTTTACTTCCAAAATCTGCCTTAGCCGTATCCCACCATCTGCCCTTACTTAGGTCTTGTTTGACCTGGATACATAATTGAAATGAAACTAAATAGAATTCATAACATTTTCTTGTCTGTGCAATATCTATGCAGCTTATAATGTATGTACATGTGGCTGATTATTGGGTCAGGTTAAAGTGTCTAGTCTGCATTCGATTCCTTGTTAGAAATGTAGTAAAATCCCATTTGTGATTGTTACAAGAACATTAATTAATATGTGATACGATTTTTCAGCTTCAGAAACTGCAAACCCTCAACTGATAGTTACTGGATCTGAAAGTAAGTTCAACTATAATTATTGGTTAAATTGTAAAGCTAACTATTTAGACATTTCATTTTTTTTAAACACATCAGATATACTTAATTTGTGTCTGATATTTACATATGGCTAATGAACCAAAATGTGTATTGATATACCCAGCACTTTTTCATACTGATATAACCAATTTTTTACATGTGACATTGTGTTCTCCAGATGGAACCATTCGGCTGGTGGATCGTGAAATGACTTGCAGAGGCCGAGTGGAAATATTTAACAATGGATCTTGGGGTTCGCTTTGTGACTTTGCCTGGAGTTCATATGGAGCCGATGTTGTGTGTCGACAAATGCAATGTGGACACGCTGTCGATAACCAGGTCAACTATGGCCAAGGCCCAAGCCCGAAGTGGACAGCCACGTGTGGTTCATTGGAAGAGTCTCTCTTCAACTGCACACTGACCAAAGGAAATGCAAACACTTGTACTACGAGATCCGATGCTGGTGTTCAGTGCACAGGTTTGCTGTTTGTCAATATTTTTTCTCCAGTAATACATTTTGTTTGAAGTCAATGTTATCTAATATCTCAAAAAGAGCTGTTAATGCTTTGATATTTGCATTGTCTTAGTGCTGTTCACATTTTTGCATTTTTCTCTAGTCTATCACCGGGGCACAGACAAGGCCATAGAGGAGGATGTCTCTGGTGTAGGCTATTCAGTTTCGAGGTCAATGCATATGTAACGCGATAATCGGGGTACTTACCTGCACTAGCAGACATCCACCAGTAGGGTGTGATGTGTGGGCCACCAAGGTTCCCCAGACCCCAAGAGGGGGGCTGGGGGGAGATTCCAGGTCCCTCTGGAACTCTGGAAGAGAGGCGTGGCCAGGGGCGTTGGGACTCTGGCACGTGTATAAAAGCCAGACCCCTGACCCTGGTTCGGCAGTGTTCCTCAAGCCGAAGACTGAAGATCGGGCTTAGAGTGTGACCCTGGGACCGCCAGACCCGACGTCCTTGTAAGGGCTCGGACTGAGTGGGCCAGTGGCCGGGACCCGAGGACCTTGGCTGAGTCGGGTCAGGATAGCCTCCCCTAGGGCCCCTAGCTGGAGGGCTGAGTGCAGAGTGGTCTCCAGTGTGAGGAGGCACGATAGCCCAGAGGCCATACCTCCCCAGGTAGCGGGTGTAAGAGGCCATTACCCCATTTGTGTTAGGGATCCTGTACATTAGTCTTGTTAAATAAAAGTGTCGCCTCAACTACCGGTTCCCTCTCGTCCTTGGGCTCACTACATATGGTGACAGAAGTAGCCATGGACACAAAATGCAAGAACCGTGCCAGGAGCTCGGAGGAAGACGACGACCAGGCGACCGTGGGTCCGGCGATCCCGGCTGGGGACAGCGAAGTGCTGCCGGCCGGGCAACTGCCCGGCCCGCCACCCGCCGTCTCCCCGTCACCACGCAGCTCGCTGCAAGAGGTGCACCTCCGCTTGCAGAGCTGCTTCAGGCCACGGCCACCATCCTCAGCGACATTCACCGCGAGGAGGCCGGGGCCAGGGTGGAAATCGCAGCACAGCGGGCAACGGACACCGCCGCCCCCGCTGCTGAGAATCCCGCCAAAATTTTCTAATTTCCCGCCATGGTGAGGGACGCTTCCGCCGGGCGTGCAATGCAAGATGGGACGCGCGTCACTGCCGGACCCGGCGGGAACCAACCGGATTGCGTAACGTCATTGATGGCGCGACGGCCATAGGAGGCCGACATCTTAGCCACTGGAGCTACAGTAAGCGCCAAGCCAGAAGACCCCCCACTGCCCGGGGGACAATCGCTGACCGTCCAACAGCGCCTGCCGGCGCTGAAGGCATTTCCGGTTGCGAACGGCGATTGGGCGGCCTTCTAACGCCGCTTCCTCTCGCACTGCGAGATGGCCGGATGGTCCGAGGGGGAGGCGCTCTGGGTGCTTCCAGCGGCATTGGACAACGGCGCCCTCGCCACGCTCATCACCATACCGAGTGGGGACCGCTCTACACTGCAACAGGCGCTCCTCCACATGCAGGTGATATACGAACCGCTGTCGGAATCACGCCATCACTTTAACAACAGAAGGAAGGGTGAGTCCGAATCTCCCTTATCCTTCCGCAGTGCGCTGCTGGCCTGAGCCACGTTCCCGCACGTTGATTACGAAGGAATCGATGCGCTGGTGTTGGAGTAGCTCCTCAGCCTGGCACGGGAGTTGCCCATCATGATGCCGGCAGTGAACGACAATTTTTTCTCCCTGTGCGCCACACGGTGCATTCAGGTGCACTTGGTGCGTTGATCAACGCCGGCAACCCCGAGGGGGAACGTCACCAGGACCAGGTCTTCGTGTCCTCTTCGGCGCAGAATTGGTGATCCAACGATTGCTATCGCCAAAAGGATTCCCGCCAGTGGGGACGGACGCCTCCACGCCGAGACGGAGCGTCCATCACTTGCTACAACTGTGGCCTGCGAGAACATGTGTCCTCGGGATGCCGCGCTCCTCGCCGCCGAGTCTCTGGTCCACGCTCCTCGGCACCGTGCTCGCCTTCACCTTCGCGACGGACTCAGGCAAATCGTGGCACCTCACGTTCTCGGCCCCCACACGAGACTCGCATACTCCACCATGCAACACATCATGCGTCGGGTGGCAGGGAAGCCGGGGGGTCGTAACGGGGTTCGGGCGCTTGGCCCTGTTCAGTGGACCGAGTTAGCCCATAGAGTCGTGGCTGCCACGCAGGGATCTTCTGCCATTGTCGGCTCGATTGAGGGGGTCGATGTCCGAATATTGGTTGACACGGGTGCGTCAGCAACCATTATTTCGGACCTCATACACAACATTCTGCCCGATAAATGTCGCCCCTTGCAGCCTGTTGACGTGCCTTGTTTTGCCGCTATTTGGGGTTCTTTGGGTATAATTGGACGTATCAATGCCCAAATTTGTATTGAGGATGCCAGGTTGCAAGGTCCTGTGTTATTCTCCGCCACCCTCGCCGTTCCGTGCCTTTTGAGTACGGACTTCCTGGGTAAAATGCTTTTTTTACCAGGGCTGCATTGAGCTCCCCTCCGACCAACGCATGACGTTCCTACCCTCACCCATTCGCTTGCGCACGGCCTGCACGATGGTCCTGGCATTAGCATCCCAGACAGTGCGTGTTCTGCCGGGATCTCAAATGTTGGTGCCTCTTCGGTTGAAAAAACCCATTGCATCAGTCGCCGCGGCGGACGGTGTTTTGATGCGACTGTCTCACATCACAGTAAGGGGTTTGGACTTGGTTGGAGCTCAGACGCTTTGTTCGGGGGATGTTACACTCTTCATCCAAGTCCTGAGCGCAGGTTCGCGAACGACCGTCATCCCAAAGGGGACGGTGCTCGCTCACGCGGCACCGGTGCCCCCGGGGGATCCGGTCGTGGCACATGTCAGTGACATGTCTCATTCGCACCTGCGCCCGGACCGTGATGAACAGTGGATTGATGCACTCTGTTCTGCCGGTGAAAACCTGACCGCTTTAGAACGAGGGAAACGGGAGTTTTCCGACATTTTCAGTCATGGCAAATTCGACATTGGGTGTACTAAATTGCTTAGCCACCACATTGATACGGAAGACGCGGCTCCCATTCACCAAAATCTTTTTTGGCTGAGTCCCACCAAAAAGGAGCATATCCGGTTGGCCGTTAATGACATGACTCATGCCTTGTCTATCTGGACGATGTCATTGTCTTCAGCCGAACTTTCGACGACCATCTCGACCGGCTGAGGGCCGTTTTCATTCAAATGTGGGCTGCAAATTTGAAATTTAAGCGCCAGAATTGTCATCTTCTGTGGGACTCGGTCTGCTACCTCAGTCACATTGTCAGTCATTCCGGCATTGCCACGGATCCGGAGAAAACAAATTGCGTCCGCACATGGCGAACCCCCACTTCCGTCGGGGATGTGCGGAGCTTCATTGGTTTTGCCTCTTATTAACCGACGTTTCGTGGCCAGTTTTGCTTCAATTGCAAAGCCCGATCATGCCCTGTCAGCCAACGGTGCGAAATTTCAGTGGGGTACAGCGGAACAAGCTGCATTCGACTCCCTCCGTGACGGCCTGGTGAACGCCCCTCCCCTGCAATGCCCATATTTTTCCGCGCTGTTCATCCTCGACACAGACGCTAGTAACACCGGGATTGGAGGGGTGTTGTCCCAGGTCGTCGATGGTGTCGAGCGTGTCGTTGCCTACGGCAGCCGGGTCTTGTCTCTCGCGGAGCAACGATCCTATGTCACCCTTAGTGAACTGTTGACAATTCTTCATCCAACAGTATAGGCCTTACCTCTACGGGCGACATTTCACGGTGCGTTCCGATCACGTGGTGCTCCAGTACGCGTTGCGTGTTAACCACGCTCCTGGACAACTGTCATGCTGGCTAGCGGTCCTCCAGCACTGTACGTTTACCATCACTTACCGTAAGGGTGTCCGACATGCCAACGCCGATGCGTTATCGCGATTGCCGCCCGCTGGCTGATGTGCTTGCTTCACGGGTTTGGGGCGTTGCAAGTTGACATCGGACGGTTCGCCTCCGAGCCTTGCAGCCACGGCTGATGTCGATGCTGCCCCATATTTTGCTCGCGCAGCGTCTGTCCCACACGATGCCCTGTTGGACTTTACCTTCGACGAGTGGGGACGTCTTCAGTTGGAAGACGGGTCCCTCCTTAAATTTTGTCGACGTGCCTGTGGCTCACGCGGGGGTACGGGTTGGGGGGGGCCCGCTTCCTTTGAAATGCGTGATGGGCTCCTCATGCATTGGGACGCTTGCTCGCGCTCCCACAAATTGGTGGTGCCAACTTCCCTGTGGGGGAGGGTGGTATGGGCTGCACATGAGTGACTTCTGCATCTTGGGGTGCAGAAGACACTTGCCATGCTACAATTGGATTACTTCTGGCTGGGCATGGCAAGCAATGTTGCTGATTTGAACAGAGCTGCTTCCAGTGTGCACGGAGAAAATCCCCTGTCAAACCATCCCACCCGCCATTGCAATCTATTCATGTGTCCCGCTTAAATGAGTTGGTGGCGCTGGGCATTTTGGGCCCATTTACCACCACTCCTAGGGGTAATAAGTAACTGCTGGTTGGGGTTGAAAGTTTTACATGGTGGCCCATGGCCTGGCCTTTCCCCAACCATTCGGCAACAACCCTTACAGAGGCTTTTCTCCTGGGCTACGTCCTGGACACGGGTGCTCCTGAAGGGAAACACTTCTCACCGACCAAGGGAAACACTTCTCATCTACCTTGTTGCGGGACGTGTGCTACCTGCTCAGCACACATAAGTTTTGCACCTCGCCATACCATCCTCAGACGGATGGTATGGTCGAGTGCCTCCACCGAACGCTCAGCTCTATGCTGAGCCATCAGGTATGCGAATCACAGGTAGATTGGGTCCTTCAGATCCCCGGAGTACTGGCCGCGTATCGGATGGCACCTCATGCGGCGACGGGGTTCTCGCCGTTTTACTTGATGTATGGGCGCGAGGTCAACCCCCCCATGGACGTGCAGATGAGCATCGGGACGCCCGGACCTAAATCAAAGGTTGCCGACTATGTCCGGGTCAATGTGCAAAAGTTGGTTGATGGACGGGAGGCCGCGAAGCACAATTCCGGGTCGTGTCAATTCGCCAACGAACGCCTGCGGGGCCTTCACACATCCAGTCATGTTTGGGTGGCAGGGGACAGAGCTTGGCTCCACTGCCCCCAGGTACCGCTGGCGACCTCGCCAAAGCTGTTGAAACCATGGAGGGGCGTCGTCGAGATCGTTCGTGTTGTCAGGCCGCAATGTGTGCAGATCCAGTTCAGTAGGCACCGCTGGTATGTTCACCCATCGCGCCTCAAACCCTTCATAACACCACACACTACACCCACACTACACGGGGGCTGGGAGCGTGGTGTGACTGACGAGCCGAGCCATGCGCCAGGGGTGCGCCCTCTGATGTCACAGGAGTGACGCCGTCGCATCCACCCACGCCGGCTGCTCCTGCTGCTGAGCACCCGCCCGCACTGCCACCGGCCCTACAAACGGTTCCTATTTTTGGGGATCTAACGCAGCGATGCGGACTCAATCAAGAACGAAGAGATTTTCTCGACTCATACTCCTCCATTCTCACGGACTCCACACCACACACTCATCTCATGTCCGTTCGGCAATTCATTTGTGTGCCCGACTGCCTTGTCTCACCGTCGGCCGATTGTTCACCTGGGATGGCTCACGGTCGTTCGTGCGTTCGGTTGTAGATATGTTAATAGTGTATATTTGTATAATGGGGGCTTGGGAATTTATATGGGACCATTCTTGTGTTATTGCTCGCACTCTCTCGTTAATGAGGCACACTTAATGGGAGTTTTTTTTTTATTGTTCACAGAGTTTTTATTGTTAATTGACAGTCGGGACGGCTGGTTGCTACAAGGGGGGGGGGATGATTTAACGCGATAAACGGGGTACTTACCTGCACTAGCAGACATCCACTAGTAGGGGGTGATGTGTGGGACACCAAGGTTCCCCAGACCCCAAGAGGGGGGCTGGGGGAAGATTCCAGCTCCCTCTGGAACTCTCTGGAAGGGAGACGTGGCTAGGGGGATGGGGACCCTGCCACGTGTATAAAAGCCGGACCCCTGACCCAGGTTCGGCAGTGTTCCTCAAGCCGAAGACTGAACACCTGGCTTAGAGTAGGATCCTGGGACCCCCAGACCCGCTGTCCTTCTAAGGGCCGGGACTGAGGTGGGACAGTGGTCGGACCCTGGGTACCCCCAGACCCGACGTCCTTGTAAGGGCCGAGACTGAGTGAGCCAGTGGCCGGGACCCGAGGACCTTGGCTGGGTCGGGTCAGGATGGCCTCCCCTAGGGCCCCTAGCCGGAGGGCTGAGTGCAGAGTGGTCTCCAGTGTGAGGAGGCACGATAGCCCGGAGGCCATACCTCCCCAGGTAGCAAGTGTAAGGGGCCGTTACCCCTTTGTGTTAGGGACCCTTACATTAGTCTTGTTAAATAAAAGTGTTGCCTTAAATTGGACCCGAAGCCTGCAGTGAATGGAGAAGGGGAAAGTGTTGCATCTGTGGCCCAGAGGAAGAGGGTGAGGAGTGGGGTGAGCCCCTCCTCCTATACAACTTGAGTTAACAACTCTAGATTTAAAGCTTTCGTGACCGCAAGGATCCATACTCTTTGGTTCTATTGGGTAAAGTCACGTAGGTAAAAAATAAAATAACAAAAATCACGAAGTTTCTGCCACAACACAAGCGGCCTTTATCAGGTGAAGGGACGAGACTGTCTGGAGGACAGCGCTGGAGTGAAAAAAAAGCCACGCTCAGATCACGACCTTTAAGCTGTGTGAGAAGAAACAAAGCGCCTTGACAAAGGAATTGTATGCTAATATGCTAATTCCTTTGTCAAGGCGCTTTGTTTCTTCTCACACAGCTTAAAGGTCGTGATCTGAGCGTGGCTTTTTTCACTCCAGCGCTGTCCTCCAGACAGTCTCGTCCCTTCACCTGATGAAGGCCGCTTGTGTTGTGGCCGAAAGGTCGTGATTTTTGTTATTTTATTTTTTACCTACGTGACTTTACCCAATAGAACCAAAGAGTATTGAGTTAACAACGTTTGATGATTACAACAATAAGCAGAATTGTGAAGTCTTCCTGTCATCACTGTGCACCTACAAGTATGAACAATCTAGGGGCGTTAATGTGTTAATATGAAATTATGCAGTACGTGTTATTGGTTGCATTAGTCACAGTGATGGGATATTACATGAATAGGCATTAAATTGACGGTGTTGTGTGTAGGAACTGTAGTGTGCATTTTGGTCTGGTTATATTTACGTGATCCAATCCAAAACAAATATGAATAATATTGGTCACGAAAGTATACGTGTTAAATTGAGATACTGTATTTATTGTTCGTAAAAACACCAATCAAAAAAAGTGCAAATATAATACAAGAGTAAAAGGAGCCATGTAAAGTTAGGTACAGATGAAAGTAAGCTATACATGTTAGCCTAACAGTGGCATAAAGACACGCGAATTGAAAAATACAAAACACATGGGAGCAAGAGGAACCAGAAAAAAAACAGTTACGTGCAGTGGCAAGTCAAATATGGTATTATCTATATTTAACCCAGATTATCCTGGCAAATTTGGCAATCATGTTTTATTGCATCTCCTGTTTAAATAAAAGAGACTGCATTCTATTATTTGGGTCTTTCAGTAAAGTCACGTAGATAGTGACTTTACCGAAAGACACAAAGAATATTAATTTCTGCAGTCACGAAAGCTTTAAGTCGAGACCGAATTAACCGACTAAATTATACTGATGATACTGATGGCATTCAAAAGTTGTATAAGTCCAGATCACATTGTAATTTTACTGAACAATTTTCCTATCCACAGCTGCGGGGCTTCGTCTGGTGAGTGGCAGGAACCGTTGTGAGGGACAGATAGAAGTCTTCAGGAACTCTGTGTGGAGTGGAGTGTGCAGTTCGGCGTTGGACACTCACGGCGCAGATACGATCTGCCGTCTTCTGGGCTGTGGATGGAGTTTGTCTCATGGGAACTTGACCCAGTTTGAGAATACATCCGCGACAATCATATCAGACAGCATAACGTGTGGAACATTTCCAAATTCCATATTTGATTGCCTTCAGACGGGAATACATAGTTGCAGCAATGTGGAAACCGCTGGCGTTGTTTGCGAAGGTAAGTACCAAATGCACCCGCTTGACAATAAAATAGGTCTGTGGATATTTTATAACTCATGCAAAGAGACATGGAATATACTAATTGAAAAAAAAACATTGTCACAAAAAAGCTGGTCTAAATTTGCCAAATTTAAAACCTTACACTGCAAACTACTCAATTGAGATTACATAGAGCAATGTCACCCCATATCTGCAGCCTAATGCCTACTTGTAGGTCGGTGCTGAATTGCATTTTGCTATATAATGCCAACTGACACGGGAGGTCCCCTCCGAATGTATGAGTTGTGATGTAAAGTGTTTTGAGTTGAGCATTTGATTTTTTAAGGAAATAGAGTGGTGTTGTGGTAAAATATGCCTTGAAGGAAGCGGGCTTCGGGTTCGACTCCCGACTTCGGTGCCTTTGTGGAGTTTCTATGTTCTGCCCCTGTTGTGCATGTTTCCTCTGTAATATCTGATTTTATTACATAGCTATTTGCAGCCTTAGCAGGCTCGTGGGGCAAGTGCTGTTAGTGCGCACCTATGATAGCCGGCACGGCACACAAGGGGGTGCGTGACCAGCACTACACCCGGTTGCCTATGTCTACCTAGTCGCGATGTTTACACATTGCAGCAGATACTTATTTGAGGCTGAGTCGACCTAGGGAAGGCCCAGAACTGGTTCAACTAATAATTACTGGTGTTGGCCGTGAGCGGGAATCAACCTCAGGTCCTCGGGTTCGTAGCATTGCACGCTAACTGTTACACTATGGCTAAACAAAAAACGTGTAACTGGAATTGGCTAAACATTGGTTTAAAAAGGGGTTTTGGGGTCATCCTTTAATGAATCTCACAAATGTGTTGTGTTTTCTTGGCAGCTGCTGAACCTACAAGCCAGAATTTGGTCATAACTCAAAGCCAAGGCAAGGATTGTCTATATTTTTTATTCTTACCATGCCACATACATTTTATTTTAGCAACAACACCATATAACCCATTATTGTTGCAGACTACATCTTGGGACCTCATTTGCAAGTACCAAAATATGAGAGTAGGTTTTTTCTCCTTTTTTCTGGAAAAAAAACCTTTTACAAGGAATCATGTCTGCACGAACCACACTACTTGTGGTCAGAACGAGGCTCAAAAGAAAGCTGTCTCTGGTGTCGACCAATCAGTTTCAAAGACAATTTATATATTATCAGAGTATTTTTTTTTATTCTGACCACAAGTATTGTGGTTAATGCAGCCATGATTCCTTGTAAAAGGTTGTTTTTGTTGCCTGAAAAAAGGGGATAAAAACCTATTATCATTGTTGCATATTGTTAGAGTTATCACCATATGATTTTATATACAGGTGACCCCCGAATTACGATGGCTCGACTTGCGACACCCCCCCCCCCCTTTTTCGACCTTTCTTATAGTAAAACCCCCACAGTAGCGACCAAAATTCGTAAAAACGACCGCCTAATGACTGCTACCGACGCCGAGTCGATTGGCGTTGGTGGCAGCATGGCAGGCGAGTGTGCGCTTGTCATGCGCAGACTCGTCGCGTGATGGCGCTGCTTTTGTCTTCCGCCGTATGTGTATGTACAGTATAGACAATCAGTCACCAGCTGCGCATAGAGCGAATATTTGTTAGCATTATTTTCATTTATTTTCGTGGTCAATTTCGAAATTTGTATGGTGTCTAATGGGTGTCCAGGAGCGGAACCCCAATTCATTACATTGCGCCTATGGGAAATAAGGGTTACGACTTACGACCGTCATCCAGGAACCAATTAGGTCGTAGGTGCAAAGGTCGCTTGTACATATCAATATCATGCATGCATAAAGGCAAAAAGCACCCGTATAATGTATTTTGGTTGTAGAATGTGGGCCCCTTCAAATAAGATATTTGGTTGAACCTATTAGGCAGGCTTGCTTTACCCATCACTTATTGTAGCTTAATTGCCCGCGTTGCACAAAAACAACTATGATAATTAATTCAAGTGATGCGACCATACTCCCCACATGCTGGAAAATGCAGGTTGATGAAGATATCTAATACTTATTATCCTTATATTTTTTCTTAATTGTGCTATTTATGCATCTCCAAACAGTTAAACCTTTATACGGGCTTGTCGGTTTGGTTTTAAAAATAATGTAATAGTTAATTTATCATTAAATGTCTAGCATGTGTCATTGTTTATTTAATCAATAGAAATACAGCATAACATTCTAAATTATAATTGTTTTACATTTGATTGATGGTACGACATGTGGTCTGTTGTATACAATTGTGGTAATGTACTTGTTAACAGAATCTTCCTTTGCAGTTTATCTGGGCAAATGTGAGAACTTTGTATAGTTTAGGTTACTTTACGGTCCAAATGTTTTGATATCAAGCCTTGCTCGTGTAATTGTTTCGTGTCTAATTTGTTGGTCATTTGATCTCTTCTAATATTAATGAATATTCTATATGCGTAATGGAGGATATGGTGTTATCCATAGAGCACGTATACAGTGTATACATATACAGTAAGCCCCCATGTAACACGCTAGTAGTAGATGCGTTCCTGAAAGGTACTGCGATAAGCGAAAAACGCATGAAGCGAAAGTTATTTCCCTATAAATAATGTAGTAACGATGAAGTTTGGTGAGATACGATGATACTACTTCGAAAACCACGCAGTGAGATAGCGGAACTAATAACCGAGTAAGGTGCGCCGTTACTGCATTACTATATCAGCGTCATGGAATGCTATTAGCATGAATGACTCTATAAAATGTAAGTATTATTTCGTAAACTGAATCACTGTACTGCTCAGCTGCACAGCTCAAAAAAGTAGTTGTCGACCGTTCAGAAACTGCGTTATAAAGATGCGCGTTCTGCGTTATGATGGCGTGCACGTTCCCTCATGGAAGAACATTATTGCGAAAATGCATTGTAATCGTGCGTTAAGCGATGGCTTACCATACTATGAGTATATATTGTATGTATATAACACGTACCATATATACACGTGGCATCTGTAGAATATGTGGTAAATTTATGACGGTTGTTATTCTCCCAAATAATCTATTTAAAGTTTCTATATCGTTGTTTTCCAGATGGAAGAGTGCAGCTGGTGGATCAAGAGTTAATGTGTCAGGGAAGGGTGGAAGTATACAACAATGGTTCCGTGACCACATTTTGCAGAAACAACTGGAATGTGTTTGAAAGTGAAGTTGTGTGCCAGCAATTGGAGTGTGGCAGCAATGTAGAGGTTGCCTCCTACACGAACGACCAATATTATTTTGGCATTGGTCAGGGAACGTCACGGCAAGCCTCGTGTGGTGGCTCAGAGAAATCGATCACCGATTGCCAGATGTATCCAGCAAGTTCCTACATCTGCACAAACAAGGGGGCAGCTGGTGTTTCATGTACTGGTACGAGCACTCATTCGCTGTGCTGCTCTCGATTCCCACAGCCTCTATCCACGTAGCTTCAAAAAATATATTTTCCAAATAAACTGTGTTGAAATTTAGAGGGAAGATTGGTGCTAATGTGTCGTTTTTGTGAAATGGCACATTCATAACTAAAGAAATGAAAGGGACATTTTATTTCTTTGTTTGCCATGGTATGATTTTCCCCTCAAGTGTATTTTGCAAAATAATAATATAATACAGCTCATTTTAACTATACTGTTGGATGAAGGCCTTCCTACAACAACTTGTCACGCAATGAAATCAATTAAATAATGTAACCTTTATACACAATTAAAACCGTCATCTTCGTGAATTGGACATTACTATTTCCAGTCCCGATATGCTCAGTTGAACACATAGGCTTTCGTGACCAATATCATCCATAAGAGGTTTTTTGGGGGGGTTAGATTGTGTAAATATATAAATAGGGATTACCGTTGGTACGGCTATTTTAATAGACAGGAAGTACAAAATCAAAGGGCTCATATAATGTGCATGCATAATGTGCTTCGATTCATTAATCCCCCCCCCCCTACTTTGGGCAAGAGCACAGAAGGGTGGTCATCACATCTACGCCTCTATATAAGGAACGAAACAGGTAGACTTCTCCACAAATCTGGCTGTTGCCTGATGAAGCTAGTTGTAATTACTGGCGAAACGTCACACTCAGATTGTAAATGTTGTGGCTTGGCTCTCCAACACACCAGTGTGCTGTACTAGTTACGAATTGGCATGTTATGTTTACGTGACAACCCTTGCTAGTTGGCTGTGTTGGGTGGTGGCGGGTTTTAATGACACATTTATATATTTACGCAATCTAACCCAAAAAAAACCCAACTCTATTATGGCCAGATATGCTCATTAGAGATTTGACTTCCTGGCGATTAATCGAAGGGAAAATAATCATAATCAGAAGGTTATTTCCTGAGTAAAGCCCATTGAGCTAAGAAGTGTTTTTTTCAATGGCAACTCGGCCAGCAGGTAACAGTAAAGTATTCCACAATTACAGATTTTAAAAAGAAACAAACTTTACAATAGTAATAACTATTACAAATTACATTCACACTTAAATTTGAATGATTTTAATACAGTCAACTTGAATAAGGACAGGGAATGCAGAATTTAGATGCCAAGAGACGAAACAAGGTGGTTCCAAAACTTTGCGGTAACACCATTGGAACCTCCTTTGCCAGCAGCAAAATATAATTGTTTTTTTACCCTTTTATCTGGCAACAAAACTGACACCTTTTTTATTTTCAAGGACAGTGCATACATTATCAGAGTTATGTTTTTTGTTTGCATTCCGACCGCAGGTATTGTGGTCAATGCAAACATGACTCCTTGTAAAAAAAGGTGTCAGTTTTGTTGCCAGATAAAAGGGTAAAAAAACAATTATCATATTTTGCGGTAACAATTACATTAATGTTTTTGATCCAAACTTTGTAGGATATCTGGGAAGTCTTAATAGCCAATCAGACTTGTGTCACAGATATTTAGGATGGTCCATTGTTAATAACACCAATATCCTCATGAATGAAAATTGTCCTGCAGTGAAAATGTCTTCTCACATCCAATGACATTTTCCCAGCCATGGCATAGAGGTCACAGTGATGCATCCTATAAAATAACAACAAACAGTCGCCTTACAGAAGACACAAGTTGAGGATAGTACACAGGTGGTGAGTTACAGAAGAAATGGTTGAAACTCTTTGTTGCTGCTGCCATCTCCCACCCTAAACATGGTATCGCCACCTTCACCAGGCAAGGCCTAAGATCTAAGGTCCACCACAAGTGATGATACATTGACGATAATCAGTTGTTCAGGTGATGATCATCAATGTAAATATAAACCCCAAAAAGAATCACCACATCTACCAGCAGCCACTCACCCGGCTATAGATGTGGATGGCTACAATAGCCACCACACACAATGGGCCTACTCGGTTAAATGGCACGATACACATTCCTTATAAACAATCTCTAAATAGGCAGGCACATTTTGCTCTCAGCCCGGTAGAAAAAAAGGGACTCTAACCCAAAACGAATGCATCATCTTAAAGGAGGACAAAAATGGACAGCCACTAATTTCTTCACGAACAATTATAGACAATTTTTCGAAGAGCCAACTAAAATCAGCAGTCCTGAACAGTGGATTCCTGATACCGGTCATAACTCCGCCTTTCCGATTAGCACGGTTAGCTATGTACGGTGTGAAATAAGTTCAACATACACCTAAAAACCACAGCCACCACATTGGTACCTTTGGAAGGCCAACTGGGCTGGCTACACAAAAAAGTGGAAGACTAATTGAAGAACCTGGGGCCAAAGCTTGACGTAGATTTGTAAAAAAATCTGACATCTGCCGCAAAAAACGAAATCTCGAGGGGCCTCGGAAAAGTTACATGCCATGTTGGCAACCAGAATAACTTTTGAAAGTGTTCATCAGAACTGATGACTTGATAATTGAATCACACTGCTGGAGTTTATGAACTTGAAGGAAACACTGGGAAGACATCAGACTGGTACTTCACTCACTCCGGCCATAAAGCCTGGCAGCTCCTCAGGTGCATATACCAGCAAATATATAGTGAATTATGTGGCTTTCCACGCGCTGTAATCCTGCTCAAATACACCAATGGAAATGTTCAGCAAATAAGCAGTCCAGAAGTAACTTCCCTTCACCTTGAACCAACTACCGCAAGCAACAGATCTATCCAAGCCGTGAATGTGGAAGCAGCTCTCAGGGCCACAAAATCCAACACGGTACTGAAATATGATGGTCTGTGTCCTGAGTTTCTGAATAATCTGCGACTATATGGCCAACCTTGGCTCGCAAACTTATGGTCTGTCATACACAGGGCAGGCAATATCCTGAAAGCATGAAAGCAAGCCAAATCCATCACCATTCTGGAACCGGAAAGTCACAAGACCGCCTCCAACTACTGGACCAATATCCCTATTCTCAACTTCCAAGCTAATGGAACATGCCATCCTTGCCAAAATTTCCCCCATCTGCCTCTCAAACGAGCCAGTTTTGGAACACGCCATAGCTGCTGCGAACAAATCATTGCCTTTATATCACCATAATTGCAGCTGGTTTCCAGCGTCAATAGAAACCCAGTGAAGTAATGATTAATGCCTCTTCTGATGCCTGTGACAGTGTTTGGCGTCATGGCCTACTGCTGAAGTTGGTCAAAATCATCAGATGCCATTCTGCTGCTCACCTACTCGACGCGATGTTCAGCAAACGTACTCTCAGGATGAAAACCAACACCAACTATCGCCATTCGCCACTACGTGGCAGTGATATCATCAATGGTGCTTTTGCCATACTATGTGCACTTTAAGACCATGTGAAATGTCGAAGGGTCGCTGGCAGGAGGTAATGGGACAGACCCAGGTGCTATGGATTGACTGACCAATGACTGGTGCTTGCACCACCTGTGCCCCCTACTCGGCCCTCCGTTGTTGGAGGGCGACTGCCTCCAACTACCCAGCAGCATCCTTCACGAGCCTCCTCCACAGAGGCTGATCTTGACATTGCTGGTACTAGTCAGTGGCAAGTCCACTCAGCTCCGCATCCTCTTGTACGACATCAATTAATATTTTTCCTAACCCATGCTACGCCCATTTATCCTCCCCTATCCTGCAAAAGAAAAGCTGTTTGGGTATGCATGAGGACTACATACCCCAACCAATACAGCGTTTCCTGTTGGAGGAGCTCGCTGATGGGACTGTCCAGATCTTTCAAGGATTTGTGAGCTCACACAATCCAGCCTGGTCAAAGTCAGAATGCATCATAGGCAGGCAAACTTGAATCGTTTTAACTGACATAGATGTTCCATGAGGGGGGGGGGGGGTCCACATTTTGCGAATATAGAGAAGGGAGGGCATTATTGTGGCCGAGAAAACCTGAACCTTCGTATGGATTGACAGACCAGGTAGCTTTCACGCAGCATTATGCAGCCAAAGAAAGATAATGCTGCTCGACTGATCTGGAGTGAGACCTCTGCTATCATACTAAAGCTGGTCTTAAGTACACTGCCCAGATATGGAAATCTCCACTTCTCTTCACAAATGCCTTATCACTAATGGAGAGTTGAGGGGGTGGCGTGTTTGATGTCACAAAATACCCAGGCAGGTGCTTAGCTTTGGTGGGGCTGATGGTAATGCCCATCCTCATATAAGCATGCTCCTGGTTAAGCAGCAGCACTTACAACTCCTCTGAGTGAGCAGGAATCACCAGATGATCAGCAAACATAACATGCTTAACCAATAGGAAGCCATCCCTCAACTGCACATGGGCATGGATCAGCCTCCCATTGTATCTGTACCAGATGGAAATTCCTCAGGTAGAGCCATGGATGGCTTCCTGAACTACGTGGTCGAAACATATTTTAAATAATCTAGGAGCCAGGTGACATCCCTGTCACACCCCAACGTGAAGAACGAAGGGCTCTAACTCCCAGGCACGTAGCTTTATCGGGGTCTTCCCACCATCATTAAGGTCCTTGGTGATTGTGAGCATCGAGTCAGGGACTTCGAAAGCATGAAGAACAACCCAGAGCCGTGGCCTATTTATAGTATCATAGGCCTTAACCAGGTCAATAAAGCAGAGATGTAGGTCCTGTTGAATTTCCATACATTTCTGATGTAGCAGGCGGACAGAATATGGCATCTGTGCAGGACCACCTTAGCCTGAACCCACATTAGGGCTCTGCAAGCCTCTCCACAACGAGCCTGGCAAGGCAATGTTGAATAATCCTTGCCAGGAGCTTTCGTAGGATACTGAGGAGGAAAATTTGCCTGTAGTTGTTACAATCTGTGCGGTCCCCCTTCTTAAACAGCGGGACCACCCGGGCATCATTCAAATCGCGTGGAACTCGTTCAGTGGTCCATATTGTTGTATTGATATCACAAAGTACATTCTGCACATAAGCACCACCCTCTCTGGGCAGTTCGCATGGGAGATAATCTCTGCCCAGCACTTTTTCTTGTCTCAGGCTCTGGATGGGCTTCCGTACTTCCTCAACAGATGGCACCTCAGTCAGCCACTCAAAGGGGGCGACCACTTCTTCCAATATTTGAAGCATAGCCGCCCCAGCAGGGTCATCCTCACCTTGCCCCATGATGATTTCTGGGCTGAGGGATTCTCTTCCCCCAAAATCTCACGGAAATGCTCAGTAAATCTGCAAACCTGTTCCTTGGAGTGAGATATCAGATCACCATTATTTCCCCTAAGGACGGTGATAGGTGTGGAGCTATAACTTACTTTTTTGATAGAATTAAAGAGTAATTTGTGATCACAGGCTACTGAGGCAGATTCCATCTCCTCAAAAACTCATAACCAGCGCTCATCCTTGCAAGGCCGCATGGTTCTCCAAACCTCTTAGTGAAGGCTGCGGTAAGCCTAATTTTCAGACGTGGCATGCAGGAGATGGTTGGAGTGAGCCTGTCACTTTTTCTCAGCTAAACAGAACACCTCCTTTGTCAGTCATGGTCTAAGGGGAGGTTTGGACTGCGTCCCCAAAATAGCCATTGCAGCTGCATGAGTCACATTCCTTAACCTCACCCATTTCCCTTTGACATCATGAGGGGGTGGGAGGAAAACGATACCAACCCCAGCTGCAAGCGATTACGACGACGGAAGAATAGAAGACGTATTTTACACATGATAAGCTAATAAACAGTGGGCAAATCAGCTCCACGGTAGGTCCTGGTGTACATCCATAATGTGGATGGTGCCGATGCCAGAACTGCGTTTAGTTAATTACAAGCCCATGGGCTGTACAGAAGTCTAGCGCCTCCTACTGTTGTTATTGAGCTGATCTGGCCCCTGCCTTCCAATTATTCCAGCCCAGGTTCCAGCGTCATGACCCACACGGGCATTAAAGTCATCCAACATGACTCTTTCCCGCGGGGTTACTTTAGCTAGCACCTGTGACGGGATGCCATAGAAGGCATCGGACTCATCAACCTTGCCTGCATCTCTCCACTTATGTTCATCTTTCGTGGGGCCGTAAGCCACCACCACCATTCCTCGTCTCCCATTGATGGAGTCGAGCCTACAAAAGCCTGGGACCTTGAAGCTTCCTACACCTCACTCCCTGTTGTTTGGCAATTTCCTGCCCCGAGTCCCCATTTGCTGCTGTGGTGGCATTGCTCATAGCCAAGACAACAGGCTGAACACCTCATTGGTGAACACAGCCACAGGGGAAATAAATGCTCGATACTAGCACCAACGCTAATATATATGTCACCTGCCATGTACATCATCTCACAAGTTCATATTTGGAGATGGCATAGCCCTTGCTGCACAGGGCACAAACCTCAAGAAAATTTCCATTACTCTAACAGTTTAACATGTCGGCTTTCACAACCAATAGGATCCATAATAAAGGTTTTTCGCGTAAATATAAACAAAAAAAATATTTTGTAGCTCATCATTTTATTGGAGCCATGCTTCTGTCGCTGGAGACTCCAATCAAATTCTTTCAAAAAAAGCACGTTCCACCTGAAAAAATAATGCAGAAGATGCCTCCCATGATGTATTCGTCGGTAGCCCAGTGAGCTATGACTCCACAACAATATATCTAGGAGTTATGATGGACAGAAGCCAGAACTTCAAGCAACACATCCGTTAAAACACCAAAGTAAAAATCGCCCTGCTGCAGAAACTAGCAGCAACAACTTAGGCACCGCAGCTGATGAGCTGTGAACTGCTTAGTTCTCACGGATCTACTCGGTGGCAGTCAACAAGCTCCAGCCTGGTCCGGGAGCTCGTCCACACAACTCATAGGCAATGTGTTAATTCTGCCACTGAGTGATACTGGACTTCCCTACACGTACAAGTCAAGCCTTTTGTAGCTCAGTTCCACCTAAATTACTACCGTGCATGCATCTATAATTATTGCGTGTTCAGACCATGAGACAATCCTCAATTATGGCAGCCATCCCAGTGTCAGCATAGTTGAAAACCTACCCACACTTTGAGTAGTTACTGCACCACGTTCTGCACTCAGTGTGGTGGAATATGTTTAAGAGGTTACTCTCTGTGCTCTACTTTTGAGGTAAGGTGAAAACCACTTGAGAAAATGACCATACTGAGCAGAACTGCAGGTGCTCCAATAGTGCACCGAGGTCCAAAGCATCAAATGCCATGAAGTGATGGAGGACAAAGATGAAGCGAGTGTTGCAATCTTTCGCTTTTAGGTTATCATTAACCACCCTAACAAGGGCTGTCTCGATGATGCTCCTCTGTCAAAATCGGGACTGGAGAAGACCATAGATGTTTTGATTGACCAATGATCATCCAGTTGCTGTGCAACCACCATCTTAATAACTTTACTCACAAAGGGCAGGTTCGAGACTGGTCTTTAGTTATAAAGTATGTCTTACCAACTGATGACTTTCTAAAGATAGGTCGAATGACCACTGTGTTAAAGGGGAGCGTGGGAGGTTCCCCTTTCCATTGATTGCCAGACTATTTTTTATCCAGAACTGTGCTGATGTGAAACATTTTTCCTTACAGTTTTCAGTTGGTGGCTCACATTTTTTAAAATTACATGATAATGGTTGGGCACTGGAACAAGTGCTCCGAATTGTATGAGGACCATTTATGATATACAATGTGATTTTAATTATTCCTTTTAATAGCATATGTTGGTTTTCTCTTTATTTAATTCTTAAATGTGTTCGTGTTAATTTTAGGTTAGTGACACTTAGTGAGGATTATAGATATACATAGAGACTCATATAGATACTTAGATACTCATAGCATAGAGACTCAGAGATATCTAGAGATTTAGAGTGATAAAATACTTCATAAATGAGGCTTGTCGGATGTATAATGCTCAAGTTTCAGAGTGGCTTTTATTTTGACCTGCAGCTGCAGGGCTTCGTCTGGTTGGTGGCAACAACCGCTGTGAGGGCCGGATGGAAGTCTACAAGAATGGCATTTGGGGCGAGCTATGCAGCTCCACTCTAAACAGAGACATTGCAGACGGCATTTGCCGTCTCCTTGGCTGTGGTTGGAGCCTTGTGTATGGTAACCTGTCGACATTTGGACAAGGAAATGGAACCATTTTCCCAAATAACTTGTATTCCATATCAAACACAATAGCCAACAGTCTTAGTTTCGGAACAAACATGTGTAGCCATGACCAGACCGCTGCCATAATTTGTGAAGGTAAGCCTATACGATTGGTTTTATATTTTTATCGGTAATGGATTTATATATCTTACTAGAGGGTAGACTGTGCTACAGACTGCGTTATCTTCGCCAATGGTTGTCCCCTACTCTCAACTCTTTTCGATTTACTGTTTTTTCCACCATTGTCTGCGCCAACAATCACCAGACGCTACTCACCACCTGACATTGCCACACGATACTCACCACTCACCTGACACCATTGCCAGTCACCCACCACTCAACTGGGATCTGACCCTCACCAGACACCTCACCACTCCCATGACACAAGTTATCCACCTGCCCCTCACGACACACACATGAGATGTCACCACTAGATAGACACTCACCAAACATACGACGTTCTTGAAACTCAGCAGACATCACCCAGCACTCGCCAGTTTAATCGTTTACACACGCACACAAACAACACCACTCTACACAATTATACCATTTCACCATACCACTGCATGAATTACTACACCACTACACCATTACAGTACACCCTACACCACTCCTGAAAACTACGATGCCATTTCACCACAGCACGACATGAATACACCACACTCCTGCACAACGTTACAGTGCACACTACACCACTGCTGTACACGACTACGCCACACGACTAAATTACTGTTCACCCTCAACTACACCAAACTACACTCCACATCACTGCACTACACCACACACCTACACCACTTCACCACACGAATACATTACACCTTATTCAGTCACTCATTCGCTCGCTCAATCCTCTCATTTCTTCATTTACTCGTGCAGCCTTTATTTACTCATCATATCATTCACGCGTTATTTACACATTTTATGATGTCTTTATTTCTCATTCTTGCCTCAATCCAATCAGCCATGGCTTCCTGCAGGCCCAGTTGTTGCTAAGGACGCCGTTGCTCGGGAAGCCATTGCGAGTGACGCCTGTCACGAGCCTGGCGGTTGCCCCGAGCTGCCGGAAGCTATACATTTGATTTAGTAGTGCATATAAGCTACTTAGTTTCGTGGGATTTTTAATTCTGTAGTCAACATGTTACATTGATTCACATCGTGCCTTAATTCAAGGTGTTTTACAATAATTATACACTTATGCATAAGATAGTGGTCAAAATAAAGTGGGTTAGTAAAAGTGGTGGTATAGTTATGGTGACAGGCGGACAGGTGGGAATGATGAAGGAGGTGTTGAGATAGTGACAGAGGTAGTGACAGGGGTAGATAGGGGTAGAGTGGTGATAGGGGTTTTGGTAGTGATAATGACTGGGGTAGTGATAGAAATCAGGGTGCTAATTGGGGTATTTGTGGTGATAGGGGTAAGGGTGGTGATAGGGGTAGTGATAAGGACTGGGGTAGTGATAGAGGTAAGTGTGGTGATAGGGGTAAGGGTAGTCATAGGGTTTGGGGAAGTTATAGGGGTGGTGATAGGGGTTGGGGTAGTGATAAGGACTGGGGTAGTGATAGAGGTAAGTGTGGTGATAGGGGTAGGAGTAGTCATAGGGGCTGGGGTAGTTATAGGGGTGGTGATAGGGGTGGGGGTCGTGATAAGGACTGGGGTAGTGATAGAGGTAAGTGTGGTGATAGGGGTAGGGGTAGTCATAAGGGCTGGGGTAGTTATAGGGATGGTGATAGGGGTTGGGGTAGTGAAAAGGGATGGGGAAGTGGTCGGGGTAATGGTGGTGAAAGGAATATAATTATTGATAGGGGTAGGGGTGGTGATCGGGGTAGTGATAGGGGTTGGGGTATTGGTAGGGGTAATGGTAGTGAAAGGAATAGGAGTAGGGATAGGGGTAAGGGTGGTGATAGAGATAGGGCGAGTGATAGGGGTTAGGGTAGTGGTAGGGTTAATGGTGGTGAAAGGAATAGGAATAGTGATATGGGTAGGGGAAGTGATTAGGGTAGGGGTAGTGGTAGAGGTTGGCGTAATGATAGGTGTAATGGTGGCGAAAGGGGTAGACCTAGTCGTGGCTGGGGGGCGCTGGCAGGCAGTAGCAGGGCTAGGGGAGAAGAGATGGGGGCTGTTCTAAGGCAGGAATGAAAGCTGCAGATTGTTGTTATAGTGAAGATGATTACTGTATGTGCTGCAATGGGAGTTGGTTCAGTGAAGGTTAGCGAGAAGGGAACCGGGACGAGAGAGTGAGACTGGGCGCAGGGCGAGGGAGGTACAGAGAGGGGGATGGTGGAGACTTAGGAGTGTAGATGACGGGATGGGACAAGAGTAGCGAGGGATGAGATAAGCGAGATGAGGTGGGGAAAGACAATGGAGGGGTTAATGGACCCAGAGTGAGAAATGTTAATGGACAGCGATGGTAGACAGGGAGCCGGTGGAGTTGAGAAAGTAGAGCAGTAGGGCAGTAGTGTGGGAAATGTGTGGGAGGTTAAATGTGTTCTGCTGTGTTTTTTTTTACTCGGCAACACAAGATCGTAGATTATTTTGTCTTGCTTGCAAACCTGACGCAACGAGCATTACAACTATACCAGAGTTGTGCCCGTAGCTATAAAAATGCGGATTTGTATAAAGTTTTAACACATTTTACAAACAAACAGGGGTGTGATTATATATATACAGATTATTTTTTTAAGTCAGTGTCACTGGTATGGCTAAGGGTGGCTTGGAGGTGAGAGCACTAACCTGGATGAAATCTGAGCAGCTACCCGTGATTAATCCAGGTTGTCAAATCTAGCAAGCTGTTGGTCTCAGCACAATCACCAATAATTGCACACACGTAAACAAGCGTGACATTTGGTTTCGAACTTATGATGAAAAAGAATCGGCGATACCCTTTCCGGCTATAATACAGGAGGTCTTAAGATGTTCAAACACCGAATAGACACCTGTTGCATGGCATCAAGTATGCATCAATCACAAATGTTCGTGGAAAAACGTGCAAACAAACATGCATTCACAATAATGTATGCATTGTATGCAGAGACAGCTTCCTCTGTGACCTTGTCTTTCCAGTGTTAGACCAGAAAAAATGTCAAAAGGCAAAGCGCACAAAGGCAATGTTTTACCCCAACCATCTGTGGTTACTCCAGACTTGACGATGCCTTGTAATCGGTGTCTATTTGGTGTTTGAACTCCTTAACCCCTCGTGTATTCTTGCTAGAAAGGCTAAACCCTATTATTTTTTTTCATAATCTTGGAATCGTTCATTCATTTTTTTTATCTCTAGGGATAGATTTATCCTTCCCAGAGGCAATAATTGAAAGTGCAGTTATTGTATGATTATGAATTGATGTCTAGCCATATATGATACCAAATGTTTATTACAAATGTATGTTATGTTGCATTCTCTAAAAATGCAAAAAAAAATGTCTGTTTTTCTCTTAATCAGCTGCTGGGACTGCCGACAATTATTTGTTTGTAACTACATCAACAAGTAAGTTCCTTAAGATAATGTCGTATGCCATCGAAATATTCAAGTGATATTCCATTGACACTACAGTGCTTTTACAATCTATTGTGACTATATATGCAGGACGGGACTTTTGGTCATATCAGATGTATTCATATTGATGTTCCAAATTATTTAGTAGCACAATTCTTCTATTTCTGATTACAATATAGATATCGATTTTTATTTATGTGCTAGAGGATTACAAGAAATAATCTTAAATTGGAAAGGGGCTGGTCTTGATCTTCCCCTCATTAAAAAGACAATGCTTTTAGTAAACACAGGAGTACACACTTCATGACGACACCAGATTTAAATGTTTGGAGATGAATATCGCCTGCCAAACGTATCAAATGGGAGTCGTTTTACTTCTGAGATACCTTAAAGTTATGTTTGTTCCACTAAGTACGAAGCAGACCTTACCTACCCACCCTGCTACAGAGGTATGTTCGCCGTATTACAAACAAAACTGACATCAAATTCTCAGACTTAGAATTTTACAAAACTTAGTTTAATTACAAGCAGCAATGTAAATTTGAACCCAAGACCTCAGCAATACCACCTCCTTTAAGCCACATGGACACCTCTGTAGAAAATGTTTTATGTAAAACATGAAAATACTGAAGTACAATAAAGAGTAAGCACACTGGTTGCCAGTAATAGGAAAAATTGGCACAGAGTCTGAATAACGCAGCAGCTTATAATGGAAATATACAGGCAGTCCCCAAGATACGAACATACAACTTATGAACATCCGCACTTACGAACGAACCACAATACGATTTAATTTTCAACCATCCGATTTGCGAACTGAGCTGTGGAACAATTTTGTTTGGTGGAGCAATCCTCCGCGAGATGTAACGAGCCCCAGCATCAGGCATGATGCACAATGACAGTGAATCATTCGGCACTATTTTTGCACATCTAACATCGTGTGCTTTTTGTGCCATTATTGCACTTTTTATCTCTTTGTGACCCTCATGTCTGACCGTATGTACAATTCAATACTTAGTTCCGATATTCAAACAAATTACTTAACAACAGGTCTCAGGTATATAACCCATTCATAAGTCGAAAATTGCCTGTGTGATAGGTGACATTATGGACAATTGCCTTTTTTATAGCATATGCAATGGCTATCCACTCTATCTGTAAATAGAGATACCTTTTGGGGAATTCAAGAGTGGTTGTCTTAAAGATAGACTCGTCCTCACCAGAGAAGGTCACTACAATTGTATTGTAATTGTTATTACGTTGGTGAATGGAGTATGAAGATAACAACCATCTCATCCATCTATAGTGATCATACTTAAAACAAGCAATTGCAGCTACTTAAACTCATACATTTTGGTAAAGAAGATACAAATAATTCGTTAATAAAAGTCATACGTACTGCTGGTGTCAGTGCAACATTGATTGCCTTTGAGGTTACTGAATGATGCTATAGATTTGAAGCTTTCGTGACTGCAGCAATCCATACTCTTTGGTTCTTTCGGTAAAGTCACGTAGGTATAAAATAAATAAATCACGACGTTTCGGGCGCAACACAAGCGTCCATCATCAGGTAGGAAAGCATGGTCTGCTTCTAAGGCAGACTGTTTTAAATTGTATGAAATGGGTGTAGCTCAAAGGTTATAAAGAAGTGGCTGGGGCTAGTGTTGTTAATGTGAGAAATTATCATGTAAAAGTAAGTTAGGAGAGTGGCCTCCGAGACGAGGGCACGGAAGTGGCTATATTAATTTGAGGGATTAGCATGATGTTAATGTGAGAAATTAGAGGGCACGGAAGTGGCTATGTTAATATGAGAGATTAGCATGATGTTAATGTGAGAAATTAGCATGCAACTGTAGAAAAGGAGAAAAAGAGTGGCCTCCTCGACAAGGGAGTGCAACCCAACGGGTGTAATCCGAAGGGCCTGTGAGTATGAGAGTGCAATCCAAAAGACATGTGAGCATGAGAGTGCAATCCGAAGGCATGAGAGTGCAATGCAACGGACATGTGAGCATGAGAGATCTAAGAGAGAGGCATAGAGAGACACAGATAGTCGAATAACAGCTGACATATGCAGGTTGGATGGAAACATCACAGTCAGTTAAGACTTTACCTGGTTAATAACGTTCTTCCAATGATTGCTCAGTTTGTACCCATCCTCTCGGTGGAAGTTGTTTTATATTTTTATTATTTTATTGTTTCCCTTCTACGTGACTTTACTTTTACATGCTAATTTCTCATGTTAACATCATGCTAATCTCTCATATTAACATAGCCACTTCCGTGCCCTCGTCGAGGATTTCGCTCTCCTATCTTACAGTTACATGCTAATTTCTCACATTAACATCACTAGCCCTGGCCACTTCTTTATAACCCTTAAGCTACACCCATTTCAGTCTGCATCAGCAGCAGACCATGCTTTTCCACCTGATGATAGACGCTTGTGTTGCACCCGAAACGTCATGATTTATTTTATTTTATACCTACGTGACTTTACTGAAAGAACCAAAGAGTATGATGCTATAGAGATACATATTTTTAAAACACGTCAGTTGGTTGAGATTGATAGTCAATCTAAAACTTAGGTTTTCGCAGCCTATATAATTATTCACATTTATTTTTGGATTGAGCCCATAGCCACGTAGTTGTGGTCTATTATGTAAACAATATTGCCATTAACCCTCTACCACCCAACAAGATTTTTGACAATTGAAGCTCAAACTCCTTTGAGTTTCTTTAGGTAGCATATGATAAGTCCTCGCTAAATGCGTAGTGTTCAAACTATAATGCTCTTTTGCTACAATGTGGTTCTTCAATTCGGGAACACTTTGCACAACACTGAACACGCACCAATGTAATATGTATTATTTAATTATACGCTTCCATAATACATATTACAATTCCTTATGGAGGAAACACTAATTAACTGATTACTAACGTAGCACATAATCACAATAACACAGATTACAACTAATTACTAATCTACAACGCATTACTAATCATAGCCATTGACTGATTACCAATCGATTATATAATTACAATACCCCCCTCTGCCTCAAATCACTGAACCTGAATGAGTTAAATGATGACGTCACCCTGCTGCTCTATTTAAGACCGGGAGCAAGTGAGGGCTTTACCATTCTGGCGAATTGCCCGATGATGCTGGATGTATTTACCAGCGAAACCCGTTCTCGTTCTTCCTGAAGTGCCACAGCGGCACACGTCGACATCCCGTGGATTTCCCAGCCACCCCGGGGTTTGCGAGGGCCCCAGGCCGGACGGCCGGGGGTGGCCTTGCTGCCGGAGGGTGGGGGTGCCACACGCGCTGCGGGGGAGGTGATTTGACCGCAACGAGCGAATGAAGACGGCAGGGAAGGAGGCGGGGACGCGGCGTGCGCCAAGGACCATGGAGGATGCCCGTGGGGCCGAGAGTGACCGGAGGGACAGCACGGGTCCGCCTGGGGTGGGGGAGGTGACGGGGGAGGTGCAGCGAGGGAAAGATGCAGGGATGGTGGATGGACCGGAGGGGGCGGGGGAGGAGGAGCGAAGAGGATGAGGGGAAGCGCCGGGAGGCCGGGGAAGGAGCGTCCCCGAACAGAACACGGGGGACGAAGCAGGAGGGATCCTATCAAGCCGGGGGCCACGGGAGGAACAGAGGAGGAAGATGACAGCGGACGCTGGTCCGGTGGGGGCGGGGAGACCTAGTGAAAGAGCGGGGAGGTGGCGCAGTGGAGCAGGGGCGGGCTGGACACCAACGCACGCCAGCAGACACAACTGCGTCAGGGTGGAGTTGAAGGACGACGTGGGGGAGGAGGTGATGATTGATAGAGCGACCTTCGTGAGGTCGGTGAAGCTCGGAATGCTGCGGGTTGAGGTGGCGGACCTGTACTGTTTGATTGCTCTGCCGGGGGGGAGGGCTTTCGACGTGAGCTTTACTTCGAGCCTCCTGCTGCAGAACTTCCTCACCCGCTTCGAGGAGAAGGCGGGGAAGAAGCCTCTGGCATCCATGAGGACGCAGCTGCTGTCGGATCTGGAAACAAAGGTTGTGACTGTCTTCTTGTATAATGAGGCACTGCATGACCAGGACGTGGAGATGTGATTGAGACAGCACTGCGTGCTATTATCTAACTGCAAGAGGGTGCAAGACTCTGTGGGGATATGGACCGGGGCCAGGCAATGGAGGGTGCACCTGAAGATGGAGGGGGGGGGGGGTGCTGAATCATATCCCGAGCGCCTTAAACATTGGGGGGAACAGGGGGTACGTGGTATACACAGGCCAGCCTAAACTGTGTAGGAGGTGTGGGGGAAGGGGGCACCTGGCGGCAGCATGTGAGGCAAGAATCTGCTACAGGTGCAAGGCGCCGGATCACACGGTGGAGGAGTGCAGGGAGCCGGCCCAATGCAACCTCTGCGGTAGCAGAGGGCACCTGTATAGGGACTGCCCGGAATCATACGCCAACAAGGTGCGGGCGTATCAAGGTGGACGGGAGGGGGAAGCGGTGGAGGAGGCGACCAGACGGGGATCGGACCGGGAGCTTGTGGGGGAGGAGGAAGGAGAGGCGGCAGAACCACCCCCCGGGGGGGAGAGGGAGGGAGACCTGCGGAGGGGGAAGCTACAACATCACTGGACCGGGAGGAGGGGGAGCAGGGGGAGGAGGGGAGGGAAGGCGAGGGAGATACCCCAGGAATTCTCGTGGTGGACTGGGCGGAGGCAATGGGCGAGGAGGAGGGCGAGAGGGAACAACGGGTGGAGGAAGGATCTGAAGGGGCGTGGGAGGAAACAACGGGGAGGAAGAGGAAACTGGACAGAGCCCTAAAGGGGGCTGGTCCCCAGCATGACACGGATCCTTCAGGCTCCTCACCGGACACGGAGGAGTCTGGGTGGAGGAGGACAGAAGAAGGGGGGCGGTTGAACCGGGGGAAGCCCCAGAGGTTGAGGGGGAGGAAGAAAGTGCGAGAGAAGGCGGACAAGGACGGTTGCGGGGAGCGTGCAACGGAGTCGGAGACGGACTAAAGTACACTCCGGCATGGACCTCTCGGCGGCGTTCATAAACGTGAGAGGAATGAAGGGGAAGGGAAGGAGGGGAGCAATTATGCAGCTGTTAAAGGCTTACAGAAGGGACGTGACCTTCCATCAAGAGTGCCACCTACCGTACACCCTGGGCTCGGAAGAACTGCTTGAAGACTGGGACGGCCACTACTTATGGTCGGGTAGTAACGGGAATCGGTGCACTGGGGTAGTTACCCTCCTGGGCAGGAGGGAAATGAGGGTGGAGGGAACCCAAGAGACGATCCCGGGCCGACTCCTTTGTGTGGACATGTCCTACCAAGGCGTGGAGTTGCGGCTGGTGAATGTGTACGCCCCTGTACGATGCATGGAAAAGGTAGAGTTGTGAGAGAGCTTAGCAACCCTACTGGCTACTAGGCGACAAGTCATCGTAGGGGGAGACTTCAATTGCCCGTTATACTTAACGGACCTGGTGTCGCCAAAGGGGAGGAGGAAACTGGACTCTTCCTCCAGAAAGCTGAGAGAACTGATGGCGGACCTTCGCATGATAGACGCTTTCAGGAGGGTGCATGGTGTAAGGCCCGGGTACACATGGTCGGACAAAAGCGGGGGAGCGCAGTCGCGGATAGATTTTATCTTCACCTCTGCCATAGTAGAAGTGGAAAGTGCAGGGGTGGAGCCCTTCCCCCTCTCGGACCACAAAATGGTCATGGCAGGGCTCGCGATCCCAGGTGGGGCGAGGAGAGGGAAAGGGATGTGGAAAATGAACGTGGGCCTATTGGAGGACCAGAAAGTGGTGGGGGACTTTGTGCAAAAATACAACGACTGGAGGACCTTGCAGGACTGTTTTCCCATGAGGGTGCAATGGTGGGGCCAGATGAAGGGCAGGGTGAAAGCGCTTTTCCAGTATCATAGCAGGAGGAGGGGAGTGAACAGGGAGTTGAGGCAGTGGAACGTCAGGCTGGAGAGGATGTACAGGTTGCTTGAGCTAGGCTTCCCAATGGGGGAAAGGATAGAGGAATTGAAAGGGAGGATAGCCTCAGTGTTGGAGAGGAGGGCTAGACAGCTAGTGTACAGGGCGAGGGTTAGGGCAACGGAGGAAGGAAATAAGTGCACGAGGTTTTTCTTCAAAGCAGGTAGGGAGGGGGATAACGCAATTAGGGAATTGGTAAGCCCTACCAGGGGCAGGCAGACGACGACGGCAGGGATGATGAGCATAGCGGAGGATTTCTATAGGGAGCTGTACGGGAGAAAAGGGACAGATGGGGGAAGCGGGAGGAGCTGCTGGGGGCACTGGGGAGGAGGATTGGGAGCCTGGAGCCGCTGGGGGAGAAGATACGGCAGGGAGAAGTGGAAGGGGCGGTAAAGGGGCTGAATAGAAATAGAACCCCGGGCCCGGATGGTATCCAGCGGAGTTCTACGTCAAGTTCTGGGAGCTCCTGAAGGAGCACATGCTGCAAATCTGTAGGGAGACTTTAGAGGAGGGCCGGGTGCCGGACGATATGCGGGAGGGTTTAGTTACGCTGATTTATAAAGGGAAGGGGGATCGCAAGGACTTGGGAAGCTGGCGCCCAGTTACACTCCTAAACACGGACTACAAGATTTTAGCGAGGATAGTTGCGGCGCGATTAGGGAAGGTGGTTGGGGGGGGGGGTGGTAGAGCCGGATCAGACGTGCGCGGTCCCGGGGAGGAGGATCGCGGACTCCCTGGTGGTGCTGAGGGAGGCTATAGAAGGGGAAAGAGAGAGGCGGTGCCCGCTGGGGATTCTGAGTTTGGACTTGGACAAAGCCTTTGACCGTCTTTCGCATGAGTATATGCTGGCGGTGATGGAGAGAATGGGAATGAGTGGGCCCCTGGTGGAGTGAGTGGCACGGCTCTATGGTGGACTCAGGGCTAGGCTTTTGATAAACGGGGAACGCTCGAGGGTGATTCATGTAGGGTCCGGGGTGCGGCAGGGGTGCCCGATGTCCTTGGTCTTGTTCGTCATGAGCATGGAACCTCTAGCGCAGACAATAAGGGATAACCAAAGGATTAGGGGGGGTGACAATCCCGGGCAACAAGGAACAAGGGAAAGCGACTTTGTATATGGACGACGTGGCCGTGCTGTGCAGGGACGTTGCGTCGGTGTGGAGAGGTATGGAGGAGACAGGGCAGTTCTGTGCGGCCTTCCGGCTTGAAGAGCAACACAATGAAGAGCGAACTGACGGCCTTTGGGGACTCGAGGTTGTTCGAGGGTCGGCTACCGGAGTTGAGACTGCAGACGGAAGAGATCACGGTGCTGGGGGTGACCTTCTGTAGGGATAGATCGGCGGAGCATAACTGGGAGAAAAGGATAAGGAAGGCGAAGGGACGTTTGGGTAAGTGGGCAGGGAGGCGGCTCACGGTGGCTGGGAGGATCATGGTGGTGAAGGTGGAGATACTGCCAACGCTAAACTACCTGGTGCAAGTATTCCCACCTGGTAGGAGGGAGGTCAAGGCCTTGACATCGACGCTATTCGGATTTATCTGGGGGGGAGGGATGGAGAGGGTGAGGAGGGCCATACTGTGCATGCAGGTTGGGAACAGGGGGAGGGGCGCCCCAAATGTGGAGTGCACCCTGATCTCGATCTTTGTGTGTAATGCAATGAGACTGTTCTCTGCAGAGCCGCGAGGCAAGGCGGCATGCTACATGAGGTATCACCTGATATGGCGCCTGCAGGGCCTCGGGATGACCCAGGCTGAGAGGAGCACACCCTTGGACTGGCCGGGGGGGTGGTTGAGTGACGTGGTGGGGGACTACATAGGGCAGCACGGCCTGAACCGGTGGGGGGGCCGGTGGAGCCCCAGAGAGGTGCGGGCCGAGGCGGAGAAAGGGGAGGCCTGTGAGGAGGTGCCAGGTGCGAGGAAGGCGGTACACCGGCAAATTTGGAGGAACACGTCGTCGACTGCACTCACAAAAGAACAGAGGGACCTATCCTGGCTGGCGGTCCGGGACAAACTGGAGACGAGGGGCTTCATGTACACCCGCCAAATGGCACGCACCCCCAAATGCCCGAGGGGCTGCAACGGGGATGAGAGCGCGGTACATGTGATGGTGGCATGCCCCTTTGCCCAGGAGGTGTGGAGGCGGAGTGAACCGTTGTTGGCCCGGTTCGCCCCGTCGAAGGTGACAACATGGGACATCATGTGGGGGGAATTGCGGGGAGTGGGAGGGGAGGACAGGGACCGGGCGTGGGCCATAATAGGCGCAACAAAGGAGGCCTTATGGAAGGCGCGCAAGAAGGAACTGGAGGGGTCCCAGATGTCCCCTTTGGAAACATGCTACGTGGCAAGGAGTTTGTTGGAGAGGGTGGTGGAGGTGGATCGGGTGAGGCTGGGACACGAAGCCGCACGGGAAAAGTGGAAGTGGCCACTGCCCAGGGTGGGTTAGGGCGGCCTGGGATGGGGGGGGGGCTTTACTGGTGCCCGGGGGCGAGGTCGTGCGTGGCTGGAGGGGAGGTAGCCCCTCCATGCACAGATGTGCCCCAGTGCTGTGTCGGGGGTGATTCCGGTCTCGCGGATGGGTCGGTGGCCGGGTGGGGCCTCCGCGGCGCACAGGAGGGGGCGGCCCCTCGATCTTTGTTTTGTTTTTTTCGCTGTGAAACTGAATAAAAAAATTTAAAATCGTAATTACCAGCGAAACGCCGTACTCAAATTGTAAATGTTGTGCATTCACTCTTCAACACACCGGTGGGCTAAAGTACTAAACTATTTGTCCTTTGTAAACCTGAAACATTTTTTACTGTTGGTCGTGTCGGGTGTGGAGGGTTACGACACATTTATAAATAACGCGATCTAACCCAGAAACCTTTATTATGAATAATATTGGTCGTGAAAGCCTACGTGTTAAACGTATATAAGTTAAAATTGCAGTGTGCGGAATTCAGTACACAAATTATATCTCAGAATTGTCATGGTATGTCTGCGGGCTGATTTTATAGTGAAAATGTGATTTCAATCTCGAATCTTTGACGTATGATACCATGTAACGTATATACCTCACTTAATGTGTTTGCTTAAGGTGGAACTTGTCAAGAGCGCATCTGTGTTAAATGAGGAATTACTGTACTTGGAATTAGTGGACTGCATCAGCTGACCCTGTCCATTCTCCTGCTACTCCGTGCGCCCGCCCCCCAGCTATGCCCAGGCCCTACCCCAACCCATATCATTACCCCTTACCCCAACCCCAATTACTACCCCAACCCCTTATCATTCCCCTAACCACTACCCAACCTCCTATCACTACCATAAACACCTATCACTGCTCCAACCGTCTTTAACTACTCCCACCTATCTGAATTGTCACCATAACTACACTACCATTAAGCCACTATATATAACTCTATATAAGATAAGATATACTCCGATACGGGGCAATCCTCCACTTCGTTGCTGATACCCATTCGTAAATTGAACGGTTCGTAAGTGGAAACACAACAATGTATTGTATTTAAATGCCCATATTTGATGCACGTCTGAGATGAACAGAACAAACCGGGAAGCTCATCAATAGGATGAGTGGCTCAAAATGTAAAGACTGTAAGCTTACATCCTGGTTTGGTGTTGACTCAACTGGGAATGCCTCCAGGGTTAGGTTGATATGAGTATCGCTTCTGAGGAATTCAACAGTAGTCCTGAGGATGGACTCATCCTCACCATAGTAGAGAGGAATTTACATCACTGGCTCATAGCTGTAAACGGATGAACACCACCTCAATGCTACATTTATCAAAAGATCACTTTGACTTTTCAAAATTAACACGAAGGTTTTTCATGAAACTTTTATATTTCAGATGGAAAAGTGCGTCTGGTGGACCGTGAGTTGCAATGCCAAGGCCGCGTGGAAGTGTTTAACAACGGCTCCTGGGGCACGTTGTATGGATACTACGGGGATGTGTGTGGAGAGTTGCAATGTGGAAGTCGTATTAGAACCATCAGCCAACGTGGTCTATGGCAGCGTCAGACATGGAATGCCTATTGCAGTAGCATGGCGCAGAGTCTTGCAGACTGTACTCTGACTCCAGCAAACAAGTATTTTCGCACGCTGTATGGAAATGATGGCGTTGTTTGTTCAGGTAAACAGTTTTCATGTCCTATTGTTGTCAGGTTCTGTGCTCATGGGGCCGGTCTCTTGCTTCAATCTCCCTCCATCCACACTTGATTCACGGCCCCTCTATACCTTGCAATGGGGTTTTATGGCCTTAGCCAGGGAAGGAAACTTGAGGTGGTTTACCTTTGTATTACTTGGCGGTGTTTTTCAGGTGATATCATAATAATAATGCGAATACAATGTTGGAAGTTTACATGTGTAATGACGCACTTCGGAGACAGGGATCGTTAAGGCACCTTCTTTATTCTCACACTTCAGTGAATTACAAGCGCTCTACATGCTTACACACTAGTCACACATCCGTCTAATTCAACAGCACTATCTAGCTTGTACAGTTGGCAGGCTGTCTAGCTAGCGGCATCTAAGGATGGTTAAGATGGTAGCGACGAAGGTGACGAACAGCGACACAGCAAGGGGATCCATTTCCAGCAACAGCCCCGAGCTCTCGCCCCAGGCACCATTTTATCCTCCCGGTGTGGCCTCGCTCCGCCCTCACCATGCCCCCTTTCTGAAACCTACTAGCAGGTTCCCGGGCTTCCAGATGGGCCCCTTCCTGAGCTTCTTTTTAGTTCTGCTCGTCACTGTATATACTCCCTCTGCTGACGTGTATACTGCCCTCTGCTTTCAGTACCACTTTTCCGTCAGCAGTCAGCGTTATTACACTACACATGTAACTAATGCAAGTGCATTACATAACTCATTGCAATCCACATATTAAGATGTTTCAGCCAATTTATACATGTTGTAGCAAACTGTAGCACCAAGTAAAAACCCACGTGTGTGAGGAGGCAACACTCTATCCTATATGCTTGGAACAGTTTGAGATTAGTCCACACTTGCTCTTAAGCCTCATGACGAGCCAGAATATGGCACCTCCTCAACACCCACTGGAAGGGTATTTCACATAATTTGTGTGGTGATCTACCAACCCTCACTGCCTCCAGTGCTAGGTTTAAGGCCACGTGCAATAGTCACCACCAACAGGCTCCATCAGCGAATTCAGTTTAACTCCATACCTAGGATATAAGGTTTCATAAATGTGAATAAATGCAGATCTTCTCTCACTACAATATCAGCGAAGAGTACAGGGCAGCTATGGTAATCAATATGTGGATTCCACGATGATGGGGGCACAATTTAGGTATAGCCAATCACATGGTTCATTTTCTATTGAAAATAATGTTCCATGGATCTGATCTGTAACTTTTTTTTCATATAATACAGATTGATTGATATAATTATTGCATAATAATGTGTTCATGCAATACTATCATGCCAGGATAATGTTAACTCAGAGGAACCATTGTTGAATGGACATGCTGTTTTATTAAAAAAGTGTAGTAAAACACACCATTATTAATGTATTTATCTATGGGACCCTTTTTCCGGTCTGAAGATGATGGAAAAGGAATATGCTTTACCCTTTCCGGATACAGGATGTGTTTAAGATGTTATAACACCGAATAGACACTTATTATCACAAGGCATCAAGTCTCCATTGACCACACATCCTTGTGGTAAAAACCTGTAATCAACAAGCTTTTATAATGTATGCATTGTCCGTGAAACGGATTGCTCTACACCAGACAGCCTTCTCCTCTATAGCCTTGCCTCAATGGTGTTAGATCAGAGAACAAAGGGTAAAGCATATTCTTTTTTCATCATCTTGATACCGGCAAAAAGGACTCCTTAGGTAAGTAAAGTAAACCTTTGACAAGGGTTAGGTTCCTGAAAACCCTTGCGTTTGGTAAATTCGCGGTTGGTAAACTTAAGCCCTTATGGGGACAATAGGGTGAGGGGGACCGAGGTCGCGAGTGAACCTAAGAAATGTAATTTGTTACTTTCACTAAAATTAACCAATGAACACAGCACACTAAATAAAGAACATTTTAGTGCCATTGAAGACATTTAATTAAGAAAAGTACAGTCAATTAAATTTGATTTATCTTTGATAGTGATGATGATGCACTGCCATCACCATCACTTGCTCATACACTCAGGGTCATACTTAATTTATAATAAAAAAATATTTCTGAAAAAATGTATATCACTGAGTGGCACGCAATATTAGTATATGATATTTAGGCACAAAACGGTAATACGCAATCACAAACATAAAATATGCAATAATTTCGTGAGACGGAGCGTGAATCGGACCAATCGCGGAGGTAGCAACGTGTTCACACTTCGCAAGTCTACATTTTACGCTCAACGTGCACCACGCTCGCTGTAACGCGATTCTAGTGCCTGACAGACTACTCGCTATAACGCGAGTCTAGCGCATGATGGACTACTCTCTATAATGCGATTCTAGCGCATGATGGACTACTCACTATTACGTGAGTCTAGCATGTGACGGACTACTCTGCTGAACGGTGTGGGTGTTGGCAACGTTCAGTGATGCTGGAAGTTGGTACTATAGTACTGGTGCTGTAGTAGTGATGCGTGCTGTGATACGCAGCATGCCTTCCTCTTCCTCATTCTTTGTTCCGGCAGCATCTTTGTGTGCATCGCATCATCTCGCTCCCTTATCTTTACTTGTCATATATCTCACACTCACTTTATATTAAAATATGTCACACATAGCATATTTATTGAAATTCTATATAAACCGAGCACATTTTAAAATTAACACGTAAAACAGTGTACTGTCAAATAAAAACATCAATATTACAATTATGGGTTGGAACGGCACCCTCCCCCCACCTTCACCATAATTCCATATGGCAACATTACAAACCCTAAATAAACACAATCTTCAGTCCTATTATACAAAACAAGCCCTTATCGTGCTCAGTAATTATGTTTAAACACAATTTATAAGCATTGCTTAATTTTACTAACGAAATGCAAAGCTCATTCTCCAGTTCTCTGGATATTTATAAAACGAAAAAAAAACCCGTTTCTGTTCAAACCTACACTGCATTTCCTTGCAACAGGTTTCTTTTGCGAATTTGCTTTACGTGGAAATTTTCAGGAGCGCAACCCCCGCGTTAAGCAAGGACTTTGTGTATTGTTCCTGAGATAATGAACGTTGTTTTATTTTACACGCTTTTATTTAACTCACTGTGTTGTTGATGTCGTATTCTGAAATCTTGTAACTCAATTTTTTACCCACTCCCCAATGTGGTATCGACTGCAGACTTCGTTTAGTTACGCCTTACTGATGACAATACTATATTCTATCATACAAAATAAAAATATATATTTTTCAACATTATTTTTTACATGTTATGTTTCGGCTTGGGTCTAATTGTCCATGGTCCCTTACGTTATGGCAAGCTTCGGGGCCACTTCCTGGAGTCATGGAGTTCTTCCATTACTCGTACGGTACATTTTAATAAAGCGTGTTTAAATTTTTTTTTTTAAAATATTACTTCTTTTTTTTCTTGCAGCTGCTGGCATTCGACTACTGGGAGGCGACAGTCGCTGTCAGGGTCGGTTGGAAGTCTATAGGAACGGAGACTGGCGTGGAATTTGTAGCTCAGTGTTGGATTACCAGGATGCAGATGTAATGTGCAAGTCTCTTCAGTGCGGAAGTGCATCGTTTGTTGGAAACACAACCAAGTTTGGTCCTGAATCTAGCTCAGTTTTTTCACAACGTGTATCTTGCCCCAAAACTGCAACAACCTTACTCAATTGCTATTGGAATGACATACTTTGTGATGATACAACTGCAGCTTCTTTGATCTGTGCAGGTGAGTAAAAGGCAAATATGCACTATTGTGATGCACACACGAAGCTAAACATACACTTGCTACTAAAGATTGAATATTGAAACCTTAACGGGCTGGGGTATCACTAACATGGGCACTTTTATCCCTTAGCCTCGATATATCGATGGCTCTTGTTGTTCTATGGGCTGTATGTCTCACTGGCACGGCGACCATGGCCCTTTACACCCTTTCCTCCCACAGCGCAGCGGCCCACGCCGAACTAATTTCCATAATCTCCCATTAACATCCCATTAACACTGCTCCTGTGCACATGTACGGCCACGGTGTTCTTATGCGGTGACGGAAGCTCATTAACTTTGACACGCTAATATCTCTCCCTAATCACTCTCTCCATATTCTCTCTCTCCCGAGTCGTTATGGTGTTCTTATGCAGCGACGGAAGCTCATTAACTTTGTATTGCTAATCTTTCTCCATAATCTCTCCATAATCTCCCCATTAACTCAAACATATATAACCCCTTGTTGTAATGGCTCTCGCTATTTTATTCCTGGTCCAGCAGTTCTGCTACTGTATATTTTTTTCGCCTGAGGACGACCGCTTGTGTTGCGATCAAAACGTCGTGATGTATTATTTTTTATTTACATTTTTAACATTTATTTTTCTACCTACGTGACTTTACCGAAATAACCAAAGAGTAGAGTGGTGATTCATGTTTGAAAGTTAGAAAATAATTCCATTTGACTCAACCACAGTAATTGAAGGTTTATGCAAAATGATAAATGTGTGCATGCCATTAAAACCTCGTAAAATATATTAGATATTTTATAAGAAAGGTCAGGGGTGGGACTCTCTCCTGGCTAAGAGTGGACTATAAAGTGCTACTGCTGACCTACAAGGTATCCAATGGGTTAGTCCCGCTATATTTACAGGAACTGATCCATTTTCATTCTCCAACGAGGTCTCTGTGATCTTCAGATCGTCTTCTCAGGATTCTGAGGTCAAGGCCCATTTTCTGGGGTGATCGGGCTTTTGCCAGTGAAGCTCCCAAGCTTTGGAACGCTTTGCATTTGATAATTAATGAGACAATCTGAATCGTTTGCTATATTTAAGTCTGTCTTGAAAACTCACCTCTTAAAACTGGGTTTTACCCCCCGAGTTATGGCTATTTACTCTGCAGGTTCTATTTATTTCCTGCTTTCCATAGTATCTACTAATGGAATGCGCCTTACAAATTTGAGTTAGTATTATTATTAACGTATGAGGGATGTAGAAAGGAAGTGTGGAAGAGAAGACTGGGAGCATGTGAGGGATTTAAGTTCACTTCGAATTTTACAAAACGATTCATTACTACATGCATAGTTGATTTAAGAACACATGTAGAAAACATGATCAGAGTAAAAAAACGTACCCATGATAAAGTAGTGGTCATAATCTTGATTTGAAGCTTTTGTGACTGCAGGAATCCATACTCTTTGGTTCTTTCGGTAAAGTCACGTAGGTAGAAAAATAAAATAAAATTTAAAATAATATATCACGACGTTTCGATCGCAACACAAGCGGTCGTCCTCAGGCAGAAAAAATAATCCAGCAGTGGAACTGCTGAACCAACGAGAGAGCTGTTACAACAAGAGGTTATTTACGTGGCGATGGGCAAGCAAGCAGGGTCTGAGCTGGAAAGGAATTCCATCCCCGGAGGCAAGCACGTCAGTTGTGTTAATAGGGGAGATTAGGGCAAGAGAGATTAGGGAGAGAGATTAGCATGAAATGAGCATCCGTCGCCGCATAAGAGTATCATCCCCGTATATTCGCACAACAACAGTGTTATTGGGAGATTAGCACTAGAGGTTAGGCAGGGAGATTAGGGGGATTAGTAAGTTAATGTCATGTCTAAGTGTAACCCAAGCTGCGGCGCTGCAAACTGCGCTGTGAGAGACAAGCGAGTCCACGCAAGAGTACCACCGCAACGGTGGTCGCACTAGTGAGACACAAAGCCCATTGCACAGCCAGAACCATCGATACATCGAGGCTAAGGGAGCAGAAGTGTAGTGATGGTAGCATCACTACTGTGTACACACACACGCGTGTGACGTCACTATGCGGGGAAGTGTCACGACCACGCGGGTCTACACACACACATGACGTCATCCCGGCTGGAGGTAGGAATGACGTTCTGGACTCGGGAGGCCACGAGGGTGGTAAGAGGTCGTGGTACTCTCTGTGACCCCGGCTGGACATGTGACTGGACCCCAGTGGGGGCCGGGGGCCTAGGGGGCACCTCGGGGGGCACGTGGACAGCAGGGGGGCTTCGAGAGGGTTCTCGAATGGAGGCGTGGCCGGGGCGGGGCCCGGGCACGCCGAGGCCCATATAAGCAGCCTCCTCACGAGGTTCGAGGCTGCCCGTATCAAGAATGAAGATGCATCGTGAAGACGCCAAGAAGAGATCCATGTGTAGGTCCCAGCCGGAGGACTCTAGGATAGCGGTAGACGTGTAAGTAAGTCCCGCCAAGACAGGAGGCTGTACCTCCCTAGAGTATCTGAGAAGTGTGTGTTAGCTAGAGTAAGTCGGTGGTCACCACTCTATGCGTAATGTAAGAGTTAACTGTTGTGTTCATTAATACATAAGTGTTGCCTCCCAAGAAGTTGTGTGTGCACCTAATTCGAATCCACTACAGATGTATGGTCATAGTTAAGCAACATTGCATGAGCAGAGAAGAATTGTGATGTATGAAGAAAATCACTTTTGTGTGTAGAGACAGATTATTGACACAGGAGTAATGAGTTTTCAAGATAGAGCTGCACTTTGAAAATTAAAATCAGTAACAAAAAAGCTACTAGCTTTTAAACACCAATGATAATGATGCTCAGTGCTGCGTCCTTGAACTTGGAGTTTGTTAATTGAGTGGAATACGTTCCATGGAAAGTTTCTGTCAACAGAAAATTCCACCTTCAAATATCCCTGCATTGTGCTCGTGACCTCGAGATGTTTCTCATGCCCAGTTCACATACGCACTGCAGTGTACCAACATGCAATGAACAATGCACGGTAAAAAATACATCACATTCATGGGGGGGGGGGGGGGGTCACCATTGGGGTGACAACAAAGTTGCCTAAGCCAAACGAGTAGGGAGTATAGTTGCAATGCCCGAGACTCAAATAGGGAAACTAAGTCAACTTATTGAACATTTAAAATTAGTGAAACATTCCATGCTGGCGAATGCAGCTGTCTTGTTTAAAGTACGTGAAACGCTACACTTCCATTAGTTATCAAAGAATGACCAACACTCGTAAATGCAATGATTTTTCTCTGATGCATTTCATATTATTTTAAACTCTTTAAATGTATAACATATACTTTTTATTTATCTTTCTTTAAAGTTCCTGTGGAGAAGACAATTACTCTTTCAGGACATGATGGAGTCATATTATCTAATAATTTTACCCTAGATAACACGTCTTTGACTTATACATTTGTAATACAATCCATGTCTCCAAATGTAATAAAAATTAAATTTGAGAACATAAGGTAAGAAAATATTGTTTGAAACATAAAACACCACACATCCACACTACAATACACTATACACGGCATGTTTTATCTCGATCACTATCAAATCACGGATTTCAGGAGTTTGCCCCTGTACATTTTAGACATACTTGCAAACCGTGGAGGTTTCGTAAGTTGAAAAATTCGTGGATTACAGGGTAGCGAGCATGTATTTCGGACCAAGGACCCCAATCCGATTTTTCCCATGAGGTCTATTATTTGTTGAACGCGGTTTCGCCCAACACGGAATATTCAAGGAACGTAACCCCGCGTTACATGTATTTTTATGCACTTGACCCTAATGATAAACATGTTAATTACAGTACCCGTTGCAATCAGTAACAGTCAGAGCGGTTCTGTTCTGGAAAATTGTAAGTTACCAATTGTAGTATTCATAAAATTCGGCAATTTTGATAAAAATGAGTTATTGAACTTAATTGAATATTCTGAAATGTTTTAATAGACCTATGTAGACTGAACAATATTTCTAGGATTGATTTATGCAAGAGGTGGCAACCCTATTGATGTAAATACGAAATCATGTTTAGATTTTTAATACTAGCTAGCAGCGACATGAGAAAGCCATATAAGGTTATGCGGTGGCGGGTTTGTTAACTACCACGCCTTGTATGCAGGAGGTCGGGGGTTTGATCGGGACCATGAATCCTGTATATTTGGAGTTTGTATTTTCTCCCCGTGGTGGCATGGATTTTTCTCTGGGTCCTCCGGTTTTTCCCTCCAAATTTGGAAACGTGCTCAGAGTATTTGGCTGTTATAAATTGCCACATTATAAGCCACTTCGTTGAATATCATTTGTGGCCAGGTCGCTTCTGAAAAAGAGGTACATAGCCCAGTGGGCCTTACCTGGTAAAATAAAAAAAAAATGTTTGTTTCAAATTAGTTTTTAAAAAATGCGGATAGAACTCTAACCTTTCCGTTTCATTATACAGCTTGCAAGAGAGCAACTCGTGCGTACTTGAACGCCTCGAGGTTTGGGATGGACTGGTGAGTGAAGGCAATTCCCTGGCTGTGCTCTGCGGGGGAGCTGCTGTCGGCCAACACATCAAGTCCACCAAACAGGTCATCTCCTTGGTGTTAAAGGCAAGAGGACCATTAGATGGTAAGTGCGATTAAATGGCGAGCAAAGTGAACTGAGGTTTCCTTCTAATTTTGACGAATGTTTTCTTAACGTAGTAGCGATCTGATTTAATAAAAACATGCTTAATTTTACTCTTGTAATTATTAGTGACTGCATGTGGGATTATTGTTAATCTGTTGATGGGGACTGAGAGATAGAGTAATGGCCCAAGGTTATGGAAGCCACACAGAACAGGGCACAGTTGGCAAATTACTGTGGAACGGCTATCGGCACAGTTCTTCTTTCGTATGGCATTTTTGGAGATTGCAACAGATTACAAATTGATGTCGAGATTTGATATCTATTCAACTACTTCAGAAGTATCCATGTGTATTTGTTTCAGTTCGCCATTGAAAGATGTTATTGGGCAGTCGTTTACAATGTTGCACGGTCTGAGATGTCGCACCACAGTGACAAACTGGACTCTATTAGTGCCGTGTTACATAGGGGGCACTGAAGAGTGAGATAATGCCACAGCCGTCATCAGTTTTTATTTTTCGGTTGACGTTTCACCTCCCATAGGGACCCCATGGTTTTGAGTTATGTTAATATTTTGATTAACGGTATGTTTACGTTATGCACGCGCTAATTTCGGCCAATCGGAGCGCTTGTAAGTGGGCTGAGCATGCCTTAGCCAATCAGCAAAAGCCATTTATGAGCGTTTAGACCTCGACTGGCTTTGTTTACGTTTTGTCTTGGCAATGGAAATAGCTCTCTTGCAGGCTCAGTGATGTTTTACTTAATTTTCAAATTATAAGGGAATTAATAGTGATTGCAATGTCTCTTAAATCGAATTTAGAAAAGAAAAGAGGTAATAAAGTAATTTCCTTCAAAACAAAGCAGGTCAGTATTGATAATCATGAAAAAGGGGTAAAAACAGTGCAATTATGAGTGAGTTTTGCTTTGAGCCACCATTTTTACAATTTTGCAAAAATAAGGGCAATATTAAAGCTTCCAATGTGAAGGATTCCTCTACCAGGATATTCAAATGTAGGGCTATTATTGTAGAAATGTAAAGACTGCTAATGATATGGATCGGAAGAAGAAAATCGAGGCGAGTCTGTAGATAGCTTCACCATTTTTGAGAGGATTAGAGCTGTCTTCGAAGACAGATTCATGGTTTTAACTGGCAATTCCTAACAGTTATTTTGATGAATATCACTTTTCGTGGAACGGATTAAAAGCGTTAACCCAGCGACTACTGTATAATATTCCAATTACGTTGTTATACCTACTATAGTCACCCAGGAATGTCTGTCCTTAACGCTCGTGATGTCACTCCACGTCGACCAGCCCCCCCTCATTAATAATTATGAACAGTTTACGCCCTCCACATTGACCCGACCCTCATTAATAATCATGAGCGGGTGACGTCACTCCGCATGGAGAACCCCCCCGCCCCTCATTAATAATCATGTGCAGGTGACGTCACTCCACATCGAACAGCCCGCCTCATTAATAATTATGAGCAGGTGATGTCACTCCACATCAAACAGCCCCCCTCATTAATAATCATAACCAGATGATGTACTCCAAATGGATACCCTCCTACATTAATAATAATTAGTGGGTGGCGTCACTCCACATGGTGGGGGGCAAGGCGCCTCCTGCCCCCTCCTCAGCGTCAACTTACAACCCTCACTACAAAGGCAGAACCCTCACGTCACGTGATCTACGTAACGCTATTGCGACATAGAAGTAAAAAGGACGTCATGATGAACAAGGGATTATAACCTTTAAATGAAATAAGTCTGGGTCACCGTGTCCTTACAAATTGCACACGAATGGATGCAGTGAATATGACGTTGTGGTCTGCTTTTTGCTTGCTGCAATACACCTGTAGTGAGTCCAACTGAGTCACAGACGTTAACTTGGGAGCCACACTATTTATTTAACACAACAGAGCCAACATAACATAACCTACGCTCGGGTCTCGAATGCCCATCTAGCCACGCTACGGCAGAACTAGACACGGTTCGCTATTCCGGCCCGGACCACAAGCTGGGTCCCGGACCGCGTGGCTAGAGGCTTCTTCTCCCCGACGTGGATCTTCGAACACCAACACTTGAAGAACCCCGAGCTCCTCACGGAGATCTCATTATATGCCCCTGGGCTGGGGCTGGCTCCGCCTTTAGCCCCGCCCACCTTCCAGGCCCCCGTCCACCGGTGGCCCCCCTCCAGTATCGTCCGGTCACGTGACAACAGGTCAGCCAGAGTGTCATGCCCAGAGTAACCCTGGCTGGCTGACGCCCGCTCTCGCTTCCTCACTGGGAGACGGCACCGCACGCTGCTCGCGGTGCCTTCACGCTCACCCGCACTCACCCAACCACCGCTTGTGTTGGTACTGCAGCACGCAACCCGGGCTGCCCGCAATAACAACATCACCGGCTGTGACGCCGCAAGTCCCGGCACCATACCGTAACAATCACAGTCACTACATCACCCCCCCCCCCCCCTACGTAGCTTCCAGCCGTCCCGGCTGCTAACTCCCTTCAAAGCAACCAACCGACATAACAAACAACAAGTGTGCTCCAACAACATAACAAGGCAACAATAAATAACTCAACCCAACTGTACAATATATACACATGAAAAAAAACAATCGGTCAACCCAACAACCCCGGCGCACGATATCCCCACAATCAACATCTCCCACCTTCAACGTGTAACAATGCTCGTAAGCTCGATAGCGAGCAGGATCAGCCAAATACTGGCCCGTAAATACCCCCTTGGGACATGACGTCACTGTCCCCCAAGGTCTCCCCGACGTCACTCCCCGCGACATCACTCACTACTCCTCTACACATTTGCTGTACAAGTTATATTCAACACTAGAACATATTCATCATAATTATACATTCAAAATGCTTCACATTTAATGTTTGCGCTGATGTAGGTCAAAATAAAACTTAAGGAGGGGTGGGTGTCATATTGCGAACCGTGAACCAAACTCCGCGTTTTCCTGTTATCACCATTGCGGCTACTTTTAAGAATGTAACAAGACTCCTGCTGTACAGGACAAAGATTTCCATTGCATTAGGCGAGTGAAAGTGCCCTGCTCCCCATCCAGCTAATCAGCACCCTGCACTGACCACCTCGCGTGCTAGACGGGAACGTGGCCTCCAGCCAATCAGAACGGCGGTGGGAAATTGCATCTAAAACTGTGAGATTGTTTGTCAGAATATTGATGATTCTGATTGGACTTAAGAGCTGTAATGCTGGGATGAAGTCAATCCGAAAATGCCAAATAACGTGGTGTTGTTAAACTTTCAATTTCACCACAGGTCGAGGCTTCATCGTAAGCTATAGCTCCATTAAAGTAACAAGACGTTCAGAAGGTGAGTACATGCCACAGTACACACTGTCAGTACGTGTAACAAATACACATTAAATACACTATACATTTTACAATGTTTAGGTGTATTACCACTTCTTACTTGAATATTCATTTGAAATGCATTGCAATCCAGTTAGGCTTCTCTTAACAACCCAAAAAACCGCAGGTCTAATTATCCATATAACCTATTGGGTCATCTGCACCCTATTTTTACTTTTTATCCGCAGTTACCCGTTTGCTTTCTGTTCTCCAATTGCTCAACAGATTCCGCTTTTTTCGTTACAAGCAGATTCCTGCCATCCTCATCATTTGTATTCAAATGGACATTTTAAAACCCATGAACGAAACAGGTGATAGAGCTCCCTGTGTTCTTCAAATGTCCATTGAAATTACCTACTATAATCACCCAGAAATGTCCTTCCCGCGCGTGACGTCACTCCAAATGAGGCCCACCCCCCGCGTGACGTCACTCCACATTAGGCCCCATCTCATTAATATTTATGAGTGGGTGGATTTTTATGCTAACGCAGAGGAAGGTCGAGCTGTATTAAATAATTTATTACGCAAAGTCGCTTCAAATATGACGTTTCTTTCCAGAAAGTGACGTAAATCTACGCAGCACAGTGCTACATCCGTGCGTGACGTCACTGCAAAAGAGCCCCCTCCCCCCCTTCATTTATATTCATGCCCGCGTGTAAATGTACACTAACGCACAAGGTCACGTACTCCTCCCCTCATTAATAATCATGAGTGGGTGACGTCACTCCACATGCCGCACCCCTCCCCAATAACCATTAGCGGGTGACATCACTCCACATGGGGCAACCCCCCCCCCTCCCTCATTAATAATCATAAGCTGAACAATTTTTCTATTGAATATTTCAGATTTACTGCAATATACACCCGTCCTTAGACGGGCAGAAAAGCTAGTGCTAAATAATCGACATGTAATCCCTCTTCATTCCCTGATAACATCTCAACGGATGTGTATGGTCAGGGCACTTTGCATATGTAATTGCATAGACAGTGGGGAAGGGGTGCTCATAGGTCATCCATGGACGCAATTCCATGGATGACTCATGAGTATTTAAAAGGACAATTGATTGTACAGCGCACGTGCACTGGAATAGTGTACTGTGTGCACGATTTCACAAATATGCACACAAGCTGCATGTATCACACACGCAGAGGCCACTTTGGAATTCATGATTTTTGAGTGTGTGAATAAGTGGAGTTAGCGAGTAAATGCATCCAATTATCCACAGATTATGATTATTCATAGGATTTCCACCTGACCCAGTCTGGTAGTTTACATCTGTATTCGGTGGCAGGAATTGATTCGTGCCGAGATGTTGTGGAATTTCATTGAACTTTTATTACAGGATTCTATAGCTGACTGAGAAATATGTTTGGGTTTGGTCCATGAAAAAGGCAGCAACACGAGTTATTTGTTTAACTTGACCGGCTGTTATCCCTGTCATTGATTTTCGTAAAATCGTCACTACTCGTATGATTCACATTTCTTCAAAGATAAGTGCAGTTCATCAATACATAATTTTGTATTATATACATTCTGCGAGTTGTTTTGTTGTTAAAGATGAGTGGAGTAAATATGAATGGGGTCAGGCATAACTTTGAGGATAATAAATACGATCCGCAATGTTTATTCCCCACATCACCGCGGATAAGACGACTTCTATTGTTGAAAAGCTTTTTTTTATTTGGATGAGTCTTTTATCATTTTCCACATTCTTTTTACATTCTTTTTTAGTCCCTGCACCTTGTGGGATAACAGCAGATAACACGGTTCAACTGCAGAACATGTATGGTTATTCCTCTTGCGCTGCTGTGTTCATTGGAAGTCGATGGATACTGGTTGCAGCAAACTGCGTGTACAAGTGAGTTTCGCGTATGCTATATGTGTCTGTACAGTGTTCATGTAATGTGTGGTGCAATTAAAATGTGCATTTAATTGACAATATCTTCTGTAAAATTATTAGTGAACAACTTCATATAGATTATAAAGAAAACAGAATCTAAACACATTCATAAATAACACTAACTTAAAATAAATCTAATCAGCTCGTTTTGTAAAATGGCCAATCTTGATAGCACTTAACGATCGATAAATGCCAGAGAAACATTGAGTTATGATTAAAAATAATGAATAAAAATAATTATTACGATCAATGTTTAAATAAGGATATTAATGACGGCTTCATAGTAACTATTTAGTAACACAAAAATACCTCAACATTGAATATGTATAATTCAAATTAACTCATTTATATCTGTGGGATCCTTTTTGCCAGTGTCAAAATAATGAAAGAAATAATAGGCGTTACCGTTACCAGCAATAATGCACTGTTTAGATCTTCAAACACCAAATATACACCTAAAAAGGGTCCCATAGATATAACTGCTCAACCCAATCTATTAATGCTTTGATATTTGTGTTGCCTTTGTGTTGTTCACCTTTTGGCATGCTCTCGTCTAACACCTGTGCATAGACAAGGCCATAAAGGAGGCTATCTCTGGTATAGACCAATTAGTTTCAAGGGCAATGCATACATTATTGTCAAACCATGTTTGTTTGCATGTTTTACTACAAGCATGTGTGGTGAATACTGACTTGCAATAGATCTATTTTTAGTGTTTGAATATCTTAACACAACTCCTCCTGTATTATTGCCAGAAAGGGTAAAGTCGATTATTTTTCATCATCTTGATACCGGCAAAAAGGGTCCCATAGTTAAATGTAAATAGTGATACTAGACAATACTGGTTTGTCTCGTACAGCCAATGATTTGAACGAGGTTCCCCATAACACAATGAATACATTTCCAACTAACATGACTATAATAAATTAGAATGTAATTTTAAAGAAGTTTTATCTGCTATGTATTTTGCTCTTTTTACGAGTGATATATTCCAAATGTGTACAATGTTGTTTGCCACTGGATAATGTAGACATGTAAAAACAACTGAATGATCAAGTATCTATTTCGAGGAGCTGAAAGGGCTTTCTGGGAGGGACGAGATGAAGTGGAGGAGCGAGGGGAGGGAAGAGGAAGGGAATGGGCAATAGAGGAGAGGCTTTAAGAGAGGAATAGAAGGAGGCTAAAGGAGGGGGCTGCTTAATGTACAGGGGCAGTGTGGAGTCTATGGGCAGTGTTGGGTCTTTGGTCAGTGTTGGCTGTATGGGCAATGCTGCTTAATGTATAGGGCAAATTGATTCCAGTGGAGGGGTGCAAGGAAGGAGAAAGATTGGAAATTAGATTGGGCACAGGGAGAAGGAGAGATAGAGATTGACAGAAAATTGTGAAAGAAGAGCACGAGAGGGGACATGATGGGAGAAGCAAGATAAGGTGGGACACAGCAATGAGAGATTAATGTGTTAACATACGTTTAAAAGTAAGTCATGAAGAAATCATAAAATTGGCTTTGAAAAATCCAAGTGTTAACATCATGCTTTTTGATGTGTGATGTAATTCTTGATAATGTACAATGTAGAATAAGAGTTTGCGAGTGTGCCAATTAAATATTATTACGGAGTGCCACGTTATTCATGAGCCCTATCTGAGGTGCAATCTGGCAATCAACCTCCCTCCATGCTGTTGGTTGGTTGGTCGTATGAATGCATCGGTAGATTGCCTGTGGTGGGGTAGAGTGTTTCGTGGAGGTCATATTGCCAACAGTGGCGTGAGCGATTAATAGCAGAGCTTCACCTTTGCATTTTTTTTACTCGACATGTAGTCCTACTAATTTACAGGCAAATATACATTATTTCTCATAAAATTTATTTAAAATAGTAATATTTTATGATTGATATGAGCTTATGCCTCCAAATGGAATCACTGTAGACGATTTAGATACAACATCAGAACGTGTAGTCTGTGCTTCATATACCACGAGATGAATATACAGTATTTGAATACAAAATTTAAGTTAATATAATCTTTATTCATGTGCGTGTGATTTTCAGCCGACCAACTTATGAGTGGAGAGTGAATTGGTGGCAATTAATTGCCATCTATTGGTGGGGATCGAATTGGAACTGGGTTGGGAATATTCCAGTGGCCAATGTATTTTTACACCCAAAGTACAATGTCTCCCTCCCTGACTACGACGTAGCTGTGGTGGAGTTAAGTCAAACCATACAGCCATCGGAGCATCTAAAGCCAGCATGTTTGCCATATTTTTCTGAACCGGTACCTTATCCGGGAAAATACTGCTACCTTTACAAAAGTAAGTGTTGTTCACGCATTTACAGCATGATAGCAAGTCCTCGTTTAACGTGGTAGTGGATACGTTCCTAAAAAGCGCTACGTTTCCCAAAAAACGTGCTAAGCGAAAACATTTGCCTATGAATAATGTAACGATAAAGTTCGGCGAGATGTACCACACACCACACAGTGAAATGGCAGGACAAATAACCGAGGGTACGGTGCCACTGTTTCTGTATCATTGCACGTACCGTATCACTATCGCTCAGCCACACATTCAAGAAAATAGTTCGTCATCAACCGCTCAAAAACCGGGTTATAATGGTGCACGTTCAGTGTTATAACGGTGCGCATTCCGCATTGTATGGAAAACTCTTCCCTAATTGGAGAACTGCATTTATAGATAAAATGCGGTGTATTAACACAACAAGTTAATGGAGGACTTTCCATATTTTGAGTCTGCACGTTCTCTCTCCCTGTGGTGGTCGCATGTTTTTTAATCCGGATGCCACCTCCACATTTCGAATCAAAATGCCTTTACATTATTTAGCTGCTACTATAAATTCCCACGTGCTGATATAAGCCGCTTCGATGAGCTATCATCACGTGTAGCCAGGTCACTTCTGAAAAAAGCAAATAGCACTGTGGACTTCACCTGGTGAACACAGTAACATTGTATTTTTTTTTACTTATTCATGATGTGTCTGTGTGTACTGGTTGTTTAGCCTCAGGCAGACAGATTGCACCCTTCAGCATCATCGACACGAATGAGTGCAAATCTTTCCAGTACAACAACAGCGGCATCACCAGTCGGATGATCTGCACGGAGTCTGCAACATGTGTGGTAGGTGATAGGATGAAACATTATGGCGATGTATACCGATATTTACATTTTGTGCAAAGATGCAATATTTGTATTATTTTGGCACGGGTTATTTTAAATCTAAACTTTAATTCTCACACATGGCCTCTGCTCCTTCAACTCCACTGGCCTCCCTTTGTAACGACTGACGATGATGTAATAAGAGCCAATTTTTTGGGACACAGCCACAATACGGGACCCTAGGTTTCGTTTTTTTCCTTAAGCTTGTAACTTCCTTTGAACATCCCCACTCCTCGTGCTCTTCCCTTTTATTCTCCTCGAGCCCCCTTTCTGGAACCGTCTGTCACTGTTTTTCCCTGAGCCAATCCCTGATCTTCCTCTATAATGGATCCTCTCTGTTTTCTGCCTAATCCCATTCAAATCGTATTCCTCCAATCCCTTTAAAAGTCTGCCTCCTGACAAATCACCATGGAGGCCTCTTTCAGCCAATTTGAAACCTTGTTTATTTTTCAACCGTATTTATGCTGCATTTTGGCTTGGGGTGAGTGGTTGCTAATTTTGGTCATTCCACCTTTACTTTTCCGCTGTCTTTTCAAACACCTGACGCTAGTGTAGCTGGTCCACCCTGTCCCTCTCCTATCGTTAATCCTTGCAAAGGGGACAGGTAGGCTAAATAGATAGCAATAATAAAAATACAGTTTGGAGACAATGAGTAGGTCATCTGCATTGTGTTTTGTACTCCGGAGAAGTGGCCAACTCTACAACAGCTGAGCACCAGGGGTTTGTGAATTGGGCAAACTTTATTTCAAAGTCTTCACAACACTGTAGCTGAATTCATATGTTAATGGGATTGAGCGCCAGTCTTAATATTCTAGACACAATTATTATTATTTTATATTTTGAAAGCAAAATGTATATCAGTGATAATTGTGCATACCTTCATTACCACCGATAACTAAACAACAGTCAATTGACATTAGTGAGTTCCTGTCAGTCGATTGACATTCAAGTAATATAAAATGAACAGTTATTTAAAATTGGAGCTCATGTAATATGCAGCTCACCAGCACGAAGTCCGCGAAAATCTAAATTGGGGGCATGCCCCGGACGCTGCTGTGCACGATGGGAGTCGGGGTCCAATCGCTGATCACCATTTGCATTCACTTATATTTTCTTTAAACGCATTTGGCTACCCGTAGCTATACAAAAAGCTTTCTTTGGTTCCCATATATGTACTGCAGAGTGTACAAATATACGTGATTAATTACAGGTAAGAATACAACGGCTACACTAGTCTTTTAATCTAGTCATAGCTTTGCTCCACCTTGTCTTGCGTTTCTCATCTCCTTACATGTCCTTTCTCGTCCTCTGTGTTCCCAATCTTCTGTCACTCCTTTTCCCTGTGCCCAATCGGTCGTTTCCCCTCTTTATACCCCTCCACTGGATTCAACTTCCCTTGTACATTAAGCAGCACTGCCCATATCGAGATGGTGGCAATATGTTAACGATGGGTAGTGCTGATAATGTTACAATGCTAGATAGTTAACATTTTGCACGGTGGCAAGATTTTAACAAGCTCGCCTGGCGTGCAGGAGGATGTGGGTTCGATCCCAATCCTGACACCTGAATATTTGAAGTTTGAATGTTCTCCCCGTGGTATCGTGGATTTTCCCTCTACATTTAGAAACATGCATTTAGAGTATATTCTTGATTCTTTCGGTAAAGTCACGTAGATATAAAATAAAATAAATAATTAAGTTGGACTTAACTGTTAAATATAAATAAATGCAAAAAACACGTTTCGATCGCAACACAAGCCTGATGAAGACCGCTTGTGTTGCGATCAAATCGTCGTGGGTTTTATTATTTTATATCTATGTAACTTTACCGAAAAAAACAAGAATATGAATTCCTGTAGTCACGAAAGTTTTAAGTCAAAATTTTTCGCATTTAGATTATTTGGCTGCTTTCCACAAGCCACTTTGTTGAGCTCTCATTTGTGGCCAGGCTGTTTCTGAAGAAGAGCTACATACCTGGTAAAATAAAAACATAGTTTATAGTTTTCAAATAAAAATAGTTTATGGTTTTAACACTGCCCATAGAATCAACACTGCCCATAGACTCAACACTAACCTATATAGATTCTTTGGTTCTTTCGGTAAAGTCACGCAGATATAAAATAAAATACGAAAGCTTCAAATCAAGACTACCTATATACTCACTACTGCCCCTGTACATGAAACAGTCCACCTCCTTAACCTCCTTCTGTTCCTCTATCAAAGCCTCACTACCTCTTTTCCACAGCCCATTCTCTTCCCTCCCCTCGCCCCTCTCCTTCCCTTCCCTCCCCTATAGCCCCATTCATGATCCCCTGTGAGTACCCCTCTATCGCTGCTGTCACTCATTCCTCAACACTCGTAACACGCCCCCTGTCAACTCCGTTCTGTCACCGCTTTGTAGGCTGCATCAAGCGCTTTCAGTGAAGGCGCTGTATAAATATACAATTACATTGGAAATTAGATATACTGTATACAAATTCAAAGTGATTTATTGCTGAAACGAGCATTGGGAAGTTGCTCATCTACCGTATACAGCCCCGAGGCAGTGGAAATAACAATATTCATAGAACTACCACTGAATGGTCCTCCTTTTATCCACATCCAGTATGCATTAACCACACATGCTTGTTGTAAAACATGCAATCGAACATGCTTTAATAATAATAATGTATGCATTCTCTTTGAAACGGATTGGCCTACACCAGAGACAGCCTCCTTTATGGCCCTGTCTCCCCAGTGTTAGACCAGAGAACAACGGTAAAAGGTGACAGCACAAAGGCAATGCAAATATCAGAACACGGATAGGTCCGGTTGAGCAATTATATCTGCAAACAGCATTCGTTTGGACGTTTTCCTACAAACATATGTGGTTAATGCAGACTTGAAGCCTTGCAGGTCTCGGTTTGGTGTTTGAACATCTTAACACCGTGTTTTTTTTTTACGGAAAAGGTAAAGCCTGTTGTTTCATCTTTTTGTTACAGGTAAAATTGGATTCCATAGATATAATTTTTGTTTCAACACATTTTGTCTGAATGGCCAAATACTAATTTGAAGCGTGGCTGCATGTGTTTTGGAATAAAACAAAAGTTGAATTAATTCTGTCCTCTTGTATTTCAGGAAAAAGATACCCAAATCTTGATGTGTCAAGGGGTGGATGGCCTGTGGTACGTGACGGGCATTGGTAATCGTCTGGCGCGGTGTGAGACCAATGACGTAGATCTGCGCGTCTTTGCAAGGGTTTGGAAATTCTTAGGCTTCATTAAACTAATCTCGGGCCTAGAATCCCACAGAACAAATTAGCAGTGTACAGTATGGAAGAAAACAAAAGACAAAATTAACATCAAACTAGCATAACATTTATCTATGGGACCCTTTTTTTGCCTGCATCAAAATTGTGCAAAAAATATGCTTTACCCTTTCTGGCAATAATTCAGGAGGTGTTAAGTTATTGTGGTTAAATATGCAAACATGTTGATACCGGCAAAAAGGGTTCTATAGATATAACTGCTCAACCCGAGCTATTCATATTTCTACAGACTGGTTATATTTTTTATTAGTACGTTATCATGCGTACGTAAAAAAATAATATAGTTTGATTCTTTCATTTTTTTAATGTTATCCTTTAATGCAAATTACATTTTAATCGAATAAATATAATTGCTCAACTAAATATAATACATTATATGGTATGGAATTTATCAAATATGCCAGATTTGTTTAAAGGGAACTGGGTATTTTTGAGATATTGTGATATAAATGTGATCATATTGTTACATTGTCAGTGAGCGGAAGTTCATGAAAAATGTGAGAGTGGACAGGTGCAGTCGGATAAATCGATTTATGCTACATTACCATCTTTAACAACTTTCATGAAAATTGGGATGTTGCCCTTGGTTTATAATTTTCCTCCCAGGTAAACATTGCAACTTCGTGAGCGGCATAGCCAGGGCCGGATTATGACATTGCTGGGACTCTAAGCTATGTCGGCGTAGGGTTTGTAAATCGAGGAATGCCTGCTTAATTTTGTTATATCGGAATGAAAATAACGTTTTAGAGTAATTTTCCCTATATCGTTTATTGTTCAACATATTACGTATAACTTCTAAGTTTTCTAATTATTTTTTTATAGAGGCCTCTCATAATGCCAGACCCTATGCTGTAGCTTTATTAGCTTTTACCTAAATCCGACACTGGGCAGAGCATCTCCTCTCCGGAGAGAGCACACGTGTGCTTTTGGCATCTCACCCAGGTGTCTGCTGGGCTCAGGGAACTGCGGAGAGAACGTGCCATCCTCATTCCATACAGCCGAGGCTTGGGATTGGCCGATACAGTCAGCCAATCGGTGGTAGTTGTTGAGCAGATATTAGACACAAAAAACACCTATTTTATTTACAAGGCAAAGCCCACTGCTCTTTTTCAGAAGCGACCTGGCCACAAATGATAGCTCAAGAAAGGAGCTTATCATGTGGAAATGTTTAGTAGCAGCCAAATACTGTAAACGCATGTTACTGATTGTGAAGTAAAAAACCAGAGGTCCCAGAAAAAATCCATGCGATCACAGGAAGAACATGTAAACTCCAAATATATAGGCGTTATGGTTGGGACTAAACCCAAGACCTCCCGCATACCAGGAGAGGGAGATAACATATCCCCACCACTGATGTAAGGAAGGGCTAACATATCCTTGGGTTAAAGCTTTGAAGAATTCAGGGACATCCTCGCCCATTGACTCAACACTGCCCCTGTACGTGAGCAGTCCCCCTCATTAACCTCCTTTCCGTTCCTCTATTGAAGCCCCACCTCTTCTTCGCATGAATGGTCATACATATATGTTAGACTAAATTGCAAGTCCTGCATTACAGTTTGAACTTAGATCCCTATTTTACATCACAATTAAGGAACCCTTATGTTTGACGAAACGGTTGAATAAATTCATGTATTCTGAAGCTGACAATATAAACTTTTATATTAATATATTACGTGATTGTAATATTAGATTGTATTATGGGCATATGCAGATGTTGAGAATTACAACGCTGTAATTTAAGTATTTTGGGAATAAAGGATGTTTAAAAAAAGTATCAATCTGTTCCTTTCCTGTTTTCTATTAATGTTTTAAATATAATACCCTATATGTTAAATTCTAAACATAACAATGAATTAACTTGGTTTGCTAGGTGGCCAGGTGATAGCGGTGCTGCAATGGATTATTGAATACATCTGTGCACAACTATAAGCGTTGCTGCCTCGTATATGAGGCATTGTGGTCTGTCACTGTGAGGGTTGCTCTTTTTTATCAATAAGGGAGAGAGAGAATTTGGGCTCCATTTTCTCTCCCATGCAATCCCCTTAATATAGGACACCAATGCGGACTTTTAAACGTCCTTTAACGGTAACAGAAAGATAGACAATTCAATCCGGAATACAGAAAATCTTAACAAGATTTGGAATTTATAAACTATTTTTTTTATTCAATCTAGATTTGAAGCTTTCGTGGCTGCAGGAATCCATACTCTTCGGTTCTATCGGTAAAGTCACGTAGGTATAAATAGAATAAAATAAATCACGACGTTTCGGGGGCAACACAAGCCTCCGTCATCAGGTGATAAATGGGGAGACACCATCTCGAGAAAGGGTTTATATATGTTTGCTTGTGCCTAAACGTCGGTCTAGACGGATTAACAAGTTTTAAGGGAATATGTAAATAAGTTATTAGCATACGGATGTAAAGAAGTTATTAGAAAGGTTCGTAAAGGGGATGTTAACATTCGTGGGCTCGATGAAGTCACGCAGAAACTGAGCAAAGGCAGCCGTGTTGTCCACTGCGGAGAAGGAGAAGCAGCTGCGATTTCTGCTGTAGCAGCAGTGCTGTCTGCTGGCCTGTGAGAGGATCACAGCGAGTTCGGACAAACCTGGTTAACGACAAACTTATGCAAGTACAGGTTTGTAAAACGTTTGAGAAGGCCCAGAGCATAGGCATATGCTTGTACACAAGTGATACGTTTGAGAAGGATTAAATAAGTTAATAGCATGTTGAGAGGCCCATCGCCACATATATAACCTTGTTGTAACTGCTCTCTCGCTTGTTCAGCAGTTCCACTGCTGGATTATATTTTTTCTGCCTGAGGACGACCGCTTCTATTGCGATCGAAACGTGATTTATTTTATTTTATACCTACGTGACTGTACCGAAATAACCAAATGGTATGTATAACGAGCTTTGGGAAAGAGAGTCGCATGTTAAGGTTAATGAACTCGGTAAAGTAATGCAGGTAGACTGACCGCAAGGGCGGCCGAGTTGTCTACTGCGGAGGAGCAGAAGCAACCGCGTTGTCTGCTGGAGCCACAGTGCTGTCTGCTGGGCTGTGAGGATCATAGTGAGTTCGGGCCAACCTGATTAATGACGTCCTTCCAGTGGTTATTCAGCTTATTCCCATCTTCTCGGTTGAAGTTGCCTCTAAATTTATAGATCTGGATGGCTTCATGGACAAATCTTTGATGGTAGCCTGAAGGTTTGCAGAGTACCTTGGTCTCAGAAAAAAAAACGTTATCATGCGAGCCCACCGTGTTGTAACAATGGTCGGCAACAGCCGAGGTGTTGGTTCTGCCGTGTTTCAGATCTGCCTTGTGTTCGCGAACCCGGTCCGAGATATGTCGTTTCGTTTCCCCAATGTAACTACTGCCGAAGGTACAACTTAGTTTGTAGACTCCAGGGTATTGTAGGTCAGGAATTACCTCCTTCACCGATGGGATCAAGTCACGGATTTTGTGTACTGTATTGAATCGGACCTGAATCCCATGTTTGTTTAAGATTTTGGAGATATTCTTGGTAACACCTGCTATGTATGGTAAAGTGATGGTTTGATTGGATTCTCAGATGGTTGTTTCTCCGTGGTTGGAGAAACAGCATTTCGAATAGTGTGGTCCGAGTATCCATTCATCCTGAGGGCCTGGTGTGCGTGCTCCAGATCACTGGATAGGTGGTGTTGGTCGGAGATGCAGTGGGCCCTATGGTGTAGTGTTTTGATGAGGGAATTCTTCTGGGCCGGGTGATGGTGGGAGGGCTTAAGATAGAAATCCATGTGGGTGGCTTTCCTGTAGACCGAATGTCCTAACGAGCCATCAGGTATCTTTTCAATCAGAACATTCAAGAATGGTAGCTTGCCATCCTTCTCCACTTCCATGGTGAATTTGATGGATGGGTGTATGGCATTGATGTGGATGACAAATTGGTTCAGTGCTGGCAGGCCATGTGGCCAGATGACGAAAGTGTCATCAACGTATCTCTTCCACAAGGAAGGACGTAGGGTGGGATGTCTGGATGGCATCTGTTTCAAGTTTCTCCATGAAAACATTCGCTACCATTGGTGAAATGCTGTTTATCCAACCACGGAGAAACAACCATCTGAGAATCCAATCAAAACCATCACTTTACCATACATAGCAGGTGTTACCAAAAATATCTCCAAAATCTTAAACAAACACAGGATCCAGGTCCGATTCAATACAGTACACAAAATTGGTGATCTGATCCCATCGGTGAAGGCAGTCATTCCTGACCTACAATGTCCTGGAGTCTACAAACTGAGTTGTACCTGTGGTGGGTGTTACATTGCAGAAACGAAACGACATATCTCGGACCGGGTTCGCAAACACAAGGCAGATCTGGAACACGGCAGAACCAACACCTCCGCCGTTGCCGACCATTGTTACAACACGGTGGGCTCGCACGATATTGTATTTTCCGAGCCCAAGGTACTCTGCAAACCTTCAGGCTATCATCAAAGATTTGTCCATGAAGCCATCCATATCTATAAACATAGAGACAACTTCAACCGAAAATATGGGTATAAGCTGAATAACCACTGGAAGGATGTCATTATGTTGTATATGTAGGTTATGAAAATTTGATGAAAATAATAAAAATTAAATGAAATTTTGGAAATTACATAATTATCCTAAATTATGTTAACTGCTGTAATTTTGTGCATAAATTATGCTAAATCGAGATACTCGTATTTCTTTAAGTGAGTGCGTGCGATTATGCTAATGTGTACCGTTATGATAACCAGGCCCCGCCTCGTTGACGAGGGTCGGTTATCAATCGGGATAATGCAATTAATCGTATGCAGTTATGCAGGTGCTGTGAGCATGCCAGAGTCAACTTGGCTTCGTTGTTTAACTTCGTATTATCGATCGGTATAATACAATTATTCTCGCTTTAACATTCACTGGGTGTATTAGTGTGTTTATGCCAAGTCTCCAAGTTCAGATCTCAGCGCAGAATACAGTTCTTATGCATAAATTTCAGGAAAGAACACACAACACTTCTGCGTTAATCAATTTTATTTCTAACTAAACTTTAACTCTAGAAGATGCAACTCTCAATCTTGGAATTTCAACACAGTATCAATACAGTATCAACGACTGCATGGTTTCACTTTGACAACGGCACATTTATTCATTCCCCCGCGTAACACGAGCTCAGTTGGCGAGAGAGTCGTTAAAAAAAAACATGCATTCGCTATTCTAAACAAAAACCTTAACTTTATAATATACTTAAAAATTGCTCACACAGTACTGCATCCATTCATAGACCTTCAAGGCAATTCTTATCACGTTGTTTCACTTTGGGTCACGGAGCAGTTGGTTATTATGCAGTGTAATGGAAAATATGAATAAAGTCCTTAATATTATGCGACGGTATTCATACGAAAAGCAATAAAACTATTATTCCTAAAGGCACAAATATGCGTTCATATATTCATCAGCAGATTGTATAATTAAAGAGATGGCTTGGAGTAAGGTGTGCGGCGGGACGTGCCATCTCACGGGAGATCCATTAATTCGTGTACAAGATTGTATAAGGAAACCGGTTTAACACGATTTCTCCCCGTGATCATAGCTCCGTGGTGAAGGTGTCAAGAATTAATTCGTATTGATGAATCTATGGGTAATTTATGCGATTAGAAGTACAATCACAAAACGAAGAACAACATTTTTTATTTAAAAAAATAATTATTGTACTTATAACCGACAGATTGTTATCACCCGATCTGTGATGCCTTCATGGCCAGCTGATGGTTAATTAGTCTTAGTGTGTAGGTTCATTAGATTGTTCTTTTGGTAAATTCTTGTGTGAGCAGACGACGTAAGCGTCGCGGGTTTGTGAAGGTGGGGGATGGGCATACGAACAACGGCGGTTCCCTCTCGCTCGGCGTGTCTCACGCCGCCGGGTGATGAGCTCGCCGGCACGCTGCCCTCTCCTGGTGCTGCTCGAACGCGCTCAGTTGGCCCGCAGGCGGCTGAGGCTCCTTTCACTGCTGGATGAGCTGCGCCGGCACGCTCCCTCTCCTTGAAGATGTGCGATCGCGCTCGTGCTGGTTCGCTGACAGCAGGCTCTCTCCACTGCTGTAGTAGCTGCGCCGCTCGCGCTCTCTCTGTGGAGATGCGCGATCGGCGCTCGTGCTGGTTCGCTGACAGCAGGTTCTCTCCACTGCTGGATGGCCAAGTCGGCACACGCTTAGCCGCTGGCAGCAGACGCTATTGCTTGGTGCGTCAATGATGGCTGATCTTCTGATGGTCGCGCTGCAGCTGGGAGCTGGCACTCGATGTAGAATAAAACTTTCAGCGATACTCTGTCTGCCCATGCCGAACTCAGCACAGAGCACCTCCTCGCCCCCCTTCTCTGCGAGACACAGTACCCATTGCTAATGTCTCGAGGCCATGCCTCAAAGCTGACTTGATGTCTTCTTCCGAATCGATGGTCGCCGTCTCCTGCGACTGGTCGTGCCTTGTTGAACTCGCTGTTCCTTGTTGAACTGGTTTTCGAGAAGATGGTTGAACTGTTATATTCGAAAAAAAAATCTCCGCTCTGCGCAGTGGGGGGTGTGTGTGTGCGTCCGGTCGGCCCTCCCGGTGTGACCTTTTCTCTACGCACAAAGGGCGTTAAGGCTTTTAAAGTTACATTTATTCTATCACGGTTTGGAATCGTACCACTTGCAGTTATGATTCTGTCTGTGACTCAAGGTATTTGGTTTTATTTCCACGAGGAGATGATGCTCTCTTGAGCGTATGCATATTCTTATCACGTGCTGCGGGAAGA